ATTGGATAAAAAAAAACTCCGTATAATAAATTAAGCAATTTCTGGCTTCGCTAGCCTATGAAATGAAAAAGAAATGATGCTAGTAATGACCGAGATTAACGTTACCATCAAGCACAAGGTGAAACTAACAAAATGTACAGCAAAACGTTCACCTTTAGATTTTATTTATAGAAAATGTGAATATTTACAAAAAAAAGGAAGCCACATTCATCAGTAAACTAACCGAAATAATAATCAATGAATCCTTTTTTAACTAAAGTTCTATAGAATACAGAGTGCTTTCTTACGCCGGGTCCAGACCAAGGAGACAAAAAGTAAACACGATTTTGAGACAAAAACAAGACAAACTTGCGACAAAAAAATGGGGAACTCTGACAAGACAAACTTGAGACAAATTGTCCACACCGCAAAGACAAAAGTACAACAAAGTCAAAAGTTTAGTTATTGCGAATGAGTTTTAATAACATAACCATGGCATTGCCGTAAAATATACGAACAAAATATAGACACTTTGATCTTTATCGACTCGAGACGAGACATTGAAAAGTCTCCGAATTTTGAAACAAAACAAAAATGAGACAAAAATGTCGCAGAAATCTATTGGATTTGTCGCAATTTTGTCGTAAAACATGAATGTTTCTCTCTTGTCGTTGTTTTGTCTGCTTGGTCTAGACCCGGCATTACAGAGTGTTTATGAAAAGCGCAGATTTTGAGTTACAGGTTATAGGGTGATACAATTTTCGTCAAAACGTCTGGTAAAACGAAGTGTAGGCGAAGCTTTATATCCTATTTAACGAAATCCCTACAGTAATTTAATAAGATTAAGTTAATAAAAATTCATATCAAGATTATTCATTATTTAGTCAACAAATACACTTAAAGTATATTGACTTTTTATGCAATTATTGAATTTTCAATGAAACTGCACTTAGACGTTAGGTACGGTATTAATCTTAATAACGTAATTAATATTTTTTTGGTAAACAAAAATGTATATTAAAATTTTTCGAAAAATGAAGGTGATGTGCGTCATGGTAGTGAATTTAATTACAAAGTAAATATTTGCACCTATCCAGCTATACGTACACCTTTATGAAATGGAAAGGTTTGTTGCTTTGAAATAAATAGGGCGTTTCTAAAAAAGCAAGACATGTATAACATATTATTATTCCAATTCCAAGATTAGGATTAATATTTGCAACAAAATTTGTTACAACATCAAAATCAGTCAAAGTCAAACTGCCTACCAACTTAAAGAAGGTTAAGATACACATTTTAAAATTATTATAGAGTATACAGGGTGCTTCAAAAAAGTGTGGCGAATATAACATATGTTTTTTTAAATACAACACCCTATGTTTTATTTTATTTTTAGATTCTGCGTAAAATTCCATAACTTTTTTATATATAATGTTATATACCTAAAATGAATAGTTTGTGTAATATTTAAATTTGTTTAAAGAAATATTAGATTGCAGTGTGATAAAAAATTGTCAGTGAGTTGGACAACTAAAATTTGGTAGGAGAATTTTATAGAGATATAGAAAAAAATATATGTAAAGATATTTTAGTTAGATGCTACAGGGTGTTCAAAATATATTTATGAATTTCAACTACTTACAATTAAGAAATTTCAAATTTTTTAAATGGTACACCCTATTTATTATCATTTTTTCTGATAGATTTTACAAAACTCTTCAACTTTTATTAAGTATGTCATATACCTATTTTTAATAGTTTGCGATTTATTCCAATTTTTTCTATTTTTACCCATATTTTTAATACAGTTACGCTATAACATTATAGATGCAATGACAAAAAATAATAATTATCAAAATTTCATGTCTGTTAAGTTAAGAACAAAATTTGAATTTTGTCGAAAATTTTACGCAGAATCTAAAAATGAAATAAAAAATATAGTGTTGCATTTAAAAAAACATATGTTATATTCGCCACACTTTTTTGAAGCACCCTGTATACTCTATAATAATTTTAGAATGTGTATCTTAACCGTCCCTATAATTTTTATATTTAATATTTTTTTCTAAACCTCGACTCACCCTGTACACATTTTATTACAATTTTTGATAGACTCTTGTAATTTTCGAGACATATTATGTATTTAATTTACCAGGATATCACTACTAAACATCATTATTTACACATTTACACTTAATTCAAAAATATTATTGTCAAATTTGATAATATTAATTTGATAATAATTAGAATATTTTTGTCTAAAGTTCTAAAAACTCTTCTTGTCACAAACAACATGCTTTTTAGAAACTTATCTTTAATATCTTAATATAATAAGTAATTAAGATAATATTTTCTATAATACTTGGCGTATTTTTATTTGTTTACAGGCTCTGCCAGAAAAGCTGTCTGATAGAAAAATTACAGCAAAAAATGTCAATCGTAACTTTGGCATCATTACAAGCAAACCAAGGTAGGTCTAAAAATCTAAAAATAGCCTCAGGCGCATCGTGTGTTTTAGTTATTAATTAGCAATGTATAAATAATTAAATATAACGCGTAGTTATGTTTTAATCTCGAGTAATATCATCGAGATTATAATGCAATCTTTATGAATCTGATGTAAGATAAAATAAAAAATAAAGAAACAAGTTTATTGTCTTTATTTTAGCATACTAAGGACCGTCTAGGCAACTGGCGGGATCATTCAGGTTTACAGCAAAACTGTCGTTTTGCCTACACTGAAAAAAATATAAGTTAATTTACAACAAATAGGTTCCTAATCCTAATATTTTTGCACCGTTTAACAAAATAAGGTAATTTTACAAAATTGCTTAGTATAGGGTATTAAAATATTCTTTAGTATCTGTTTCAGTGGTGAAACCAATAAGTATTGAATTTTTAATGAATTCATTTATCTTATTTTCATATTAAACGCATAAGTAAAAAGCCATAAAATCTTGTTTTCTGAATGTCAATGATCGAAAAACAAAAATATTCAATGCTGTGGTGGTACAATTTTTAATCGTTTCTTGTTTACTTAAAAAATGGGTTCGTCATCAAAATTAAAAATTTTAAGTACATGTATATCAATTCCAATTATCACATTGGTCAGACTGATAGTAAGAAGTGTCACAAAAGTCAAAGCAATTAATAAAAACAAGTTTAAACGATTTTATTTTTATTGCGAAATATTGCGCTTTTTGTTTTTAGATTTAATTTAAATTTAATAAATTTGAGAATCGAGAATGTAACGGCGTCCTGTTGGCTGGAAAATGACAATAAATGACATTTCCCATATAAATTTACATATAAAATGACAGCGATCTTCATTTCATAGCCATCGCTGACGACTTTATTTTTTCTACCATACAGTATTGTCAATAAAAAATATTTTCTGTTGTTTTATGACATGGTTTTATGTTAATATCTTGGAAATAGTTAGTTAATAACTCGAAAACATTATCATAGTTTTGAAGTTCCAAAACTACCGTGACGCCTTTTTTTCTGTCGTGTAGAACAAGTTTTTAGAAAACGTTTAAAATCAAAATATTTTCTGATTAAAAACACACTGGAATTTCTAATTAATTCATCTATTTATTGATCTTTAAAAGGTGATACCTAGGTATACTGTGTACTATATTTAAATTGCAAATTTAGAAAAGATATTTTATCCAATATAAGACGCATATTTGCTAGTATTTCTATAAAATACATACCGTTAGTACAATATATATATATATATATATATATATATATATATATATATATATATATATATATATATATATATATATATATATATATATATATATATATATATATATATATATTTTGTATAATTTATTTTTATTAGTTTCAAAAAAACGTTTTGTAGTGAATGGTGGATACATAAATATAAGTTAAACAATACAGATACAGAATATAATAATTTAATGTAAAATATAACAATAACACGTGCATTATAATGAATAAAACATGTCTTTAAATACAGAATGTTTCCTAAGTAAGATGCCGTCTACACATAACGTTTTATCTGTCAGGCAAGGCGGATTAAAACCACACTGGATGTTTTACCTGCGGTTTTGTCGATTATAGCATTGTGTTTAGTGAAGTCGAAAAGAACAAACATGGAATTTTAGTGGAAACATGTACCTATTTCTGGTTTAAATTTCATTTCTAAACACGCAAAGCCGTTGGCGTAAATACAGGGGTTGTAGAAAATTCTCGAGAAAATTTGTAGGTATTTAAGTTTAAGTAATCTATGAGAACTGGACGGTTTGACAACCAAGTCTATGAAATTTATTGATAGAGAAATTCATGTAAACGTTTTATTCAAAAAATGTGGGAATAATTGGCTATGAAGAATAACTGGCTAATATTATTCTGCATTTTTTAATTGTTTCTTCTTTCTTTTTTGTAAATTTACTAAGGGATAAAATAACAATAAAGGTTGAAAAAAAGGGAAAAAATAAAAGGGACTAGAAACATCAGATATCTAATCTAGAATCCAAAAATTCAAAGTAGTTAAAAACCTTTTTGACAAAAAATATACTTATCGAATTTATTTGTACCAAAATACAACTTTTTAAATGCCCCCCGGTGTCCCATTTTCGCCCAAAAGTTCACGTCGATATTTCCAAAGCTTCCTACGCACTATTTTCAACTTCAACATTTCACCCCAGGATCTATCAGCCTACATACCCGAAGCAAAGCCCGAAGAGCTGCAGGGTCGAACTTAGGGCACAAGTAGGCGAAATATTTATTGATTATTCGATAAAACAGTTGCGCAATCCTAAACAAAATCCGTTCTATTGCCCCACCGGCAAAAGATTACGACCTACGTCATATTTTTTTTTCTTTTTGGAAATTCATCCTCGATGTCGAGTTATTTTTAGACTTGGAAAACGCAAAAGAGACATATAGTAGGCTAAAATTAACCTTTTTACTGTAGTGTTAATAGTAAAATGCTGAGGATTTTTTAGTATATTTATGACATTTATTACAGACAAAAGTTTACTTACCCAAGAAAATCTAAGTAAATAACACCTTTTTTCCACCTGAATTCTTCCAAAAAATATTCTAGCCGGCACTGAGTATGACACTTGAAAAAAACAAATGCAAACTGGCTTCAATGGAAACGTAACTTTGGTTCGAAAATAAACTTGAGTCGAAAACCTCTTATCACTTTTATTTCAGTGATTTGGATCACAAATATACCGAAACTCGGAAATGGAATACCGACGAACTTTACCCCACAGCCAAACAAATCCGTCTAAAATTTTTTACAGACAGTTGCCAAATATCAAACAGTTTTTTCCCTACGTCTGTAACTCTGTTTCACTCTCTCTGGCTCTAATAGGTTGAAATTCGAATGAGATAAACTGGATTTGACGTGAAGAAAACGTTTCAGTAATTTCAACGTATACATGCGAGTTTCCAAACGACTTGAAATATAAGTCTAGTTATTTTACTTTGATTTATAAAGAAATAAGTTATAAAAAACACAAATCAACTACCAGAAAGCACAAAGAACTCACGAAAATTCAAATTGGTTAAGGAAAAGGCGAAAAAATAAAACAAAACTGACAAAAAATGAATCAAAATGTCAATAAAGTTCGTTTTGGAACCATCATGTACACGGGTCACGAGCGCTATCCATTTTTTAAGATGATTAAAAAAAGGTAAAACAAATTTAAGTACCTTTTGCTTGTTTACAATTTTTTTTGTTATATAAACATCGAATATTCTCAGAAAAATTGAATTAAATCCTAGAACTCTGTTTATTTTCTAATGTAACCTACGTAATAATTGAGTTTGTATATTTTTGAAAACTGAATCACAAATAAGAAAAAAGAAGTGAAAAGAGTGCCAGGTGATTTTAGGATGAAAAACCAAGAAAAAATCATGGAGGAAAATACAGAAAATTGCTATAAATAATGGAAAAATATAGAATGAAGTGAGGTTAGATGACCAACAACAATACGTCACATCGAATCCATTTAAATACAAAAATCGGGGTCAACTTTCACCTGCTCGATGCCTAGCTTTCGGTTTTCAAATATTTGCACCTGATTAACATCATTACTGGTCAAAATTTCGTGCGACAGGCTTTGAAAATGGCCCTATCAAAAGTGCTGTGCAGACAACTACCCCTCAGGAAGTTCCTACCCTCTGTATCGTGTATTTACATCAACAATAAACAAGAAACTCGGCTGTTGTCGTCTTCAGAAATACAGTTTGCCAAGTTGGCTCAGGAGAAAAAACCTGACTGGAATCGAGCAGTGAGCGAGGCAGAGAAAATTGTGGGCTATCCGACATCCTTTTTGAGTTTGAGATGGTTGCTGAGCGATGAGATTGCTAATGTGGCTCTGCATTTGAGGAAACTGGTTGGGTCGAACCATCCTTTATTAAAGACAGCAAAGTAAGTGTGAAATGTTACGTAGAGTGCTGTGTATAGGTGTTTTTGTTTTTTTAGAGGGTTACTTTATAATGGGAAAAATAATATGCAGGCATGGGGTTTGATAGTTTTATTGATATCGAAGGCGGCTGGGCATTCCGCGGATATTCCTGACATGGAACAAGATAAGGCAGCAGGTATGTTACAATATTTATTTTAAATAATTATTAATTAGTGAATAAAAAACATCAGAGTCCTTTAAAAATAACAAATTAATGGTTCATTTCTATATATAATTAGTATGTTGTGTGTCTTGCATAATAATAATGTGTTCAGTTTGTCAATGAATAGAAAAAACTAAGGACGGAGAATATATCAACAAACTTAGTTTTGAAATGGCTCACTTTGACGTTTTTTTTTATTTTTTTTAACATAAAATATAAAGTTGGGTAAATATTTCTTAAAAAAACTCCCAGTACTATACAGGGTTGTTCACCACATACGACACGGAGTATTGTAGCTAAACGATTAGATTTTTACAAATTGTAAGTTTTGGGTTCGTTGAAGGACTATTAGAGCTACAATTTAAAAATATTTTTACGAGATACAGAGGGTCCCAAATAAATAAAAAATATCAAAGTTGTATTTTTTTAAATGGACCACCCTGTACATTATTGCATTTTTAGTTTCTACGATTAAAATAAAGATAATTTTGATTAAGGTTTATTACACTTAAACATTACCGTTTTTGAAATATTTTTAATTTTGTGAAATTGCAGTATAAATTTTAAGGCTTTATTTCTCCGAGGGTATCAAAGTTTTTAATAGTAAATATTTACTGAAGTTTATTTATTGATCAGTTATTGTGTTGCAGTAATAAAAATTATACTACCTTATACAGAGTGTCTAAAAATTTATTTTAAATAATTACTAGCTTTAAACGGCAATGACTTGTTTAATTTAAATGGGACACCCTGTATATTTTATGAGAATCAGATGCACGATTTAATTGTCTATCAAATTGTATTATACCACTTTTTACCTATCCCTTCAAGTTTTTGTAGAAAATGCATTTTCTTATAATTTAGACCTCATTTATCATATACCCATGGAATATTGACATTTTAGATTGTTTTTAAAACAACAAATGTACAAAATGTACAGGCTAGTAATATTATCGTTTTTAGTAAAACGATAATATTACTACCCCATTTGTATGCAAAAGAAAACTATTTTAATCTTTATAAAACAGTATACCATTAATTAAATATACCACCAGTATTTCCGCCCAAATACTAATTAATTACATACTTAATTGCGTTCGTTAATAAATTATTCTAAATAAATGTGGATTTGGATCAGAAATCAATATAATAATAAGTTATGAAAATGAACGTCTCTGTTGTTATAAATAAGCATTTTTCAAAAAATGAAATATCATTTTTAAGGTGTTAGTTTTTTACCACACTGTCTAATACAGATACATAATTCAGTTTTTTAATATTTGGAGCAATTATTATTAATCAACGCAAACAGTCAATTAATGTAGTTTGAATACTGGAATCATATTAATTGGTCCTCTTTAACAAATATTTAAATTTTTTTTTTTATTTTTTAATCAAAATAAACGAACTATATCGACAATATTAGTATCTGTACTCTTTAAAAATTTGGTACATCTTCAAAAATAACCTAAAATGTCAGTATTCCATTGGTATATTGATAAATGAGTTCTAAATTACAAGAAAATGCATTTTCTACGGAAACTTGAAGAGATAGGTAAAAAATGGTATAATACAATTTGATAGACAATTAAATTGTGCATCTGATTCTTATAAAATATACAGGGTGTTCCATTTAAATTAAACAAGTTATTGCCGTTTAAATCTAATAATTATTTAAAATAAATATTTAGACACTCTGTATAAGGTAGTAAAATCTTTATTATTGCAACACAATAACTGATCAATAAATAAACTTCAGTAAATATATAGTATTAAAAACTTTGATACCCTCGGAGAAATGAAGCCTTAAAATTTATACTGCAATTTCACAAAATTGAAATATTTCAAAAACGGTAAGGTTTAAGTGTAATAAACCTTAATCAAATTTACCTTTATTTTAATCGTAGAAACAAAAAATGTAATAATATACAGGGTGTTCCATTTAAAAAAATACAACTTCGATATTTTTTATTTATTTGGGACACTCTGTATCTTGTAAAAATATTTTTAAATTGTAGCTCTAATAGTCCTTCAACGAACCCAAAACTTCCAATTTGTAAAAATCTAATCGTTTAGCTACAATATTCCGTGTCGTATGTGGTGAACAACCCTGTATAATTTGCTTGTTTTGTACTATGCTGGGCCCAATTTTATTTTTTAAAGATAATTAGTTGATTAAAAAATATTTCTGGTAAAAATACATTTATTATTGTAATAAAATTATATAATAATAAAAATATAGTTACTTAATAAGTTTTTGGTTTGGTTGTAACAAGTAAAGTTTGTAAAAATTATACCTAGCTAATATCCCTTCTACAGGGTCCAGCAATAGTGCGTCGGGCATCTGTAGCTCCTAGAATAAAACACTTGGGATTTTTGTTTAAGTGTAAACCTAAAGTAGTTCAGGAAAATGTTTTAACTTCTATAGGGTGGCTCAAAAAAGTGTGAGTTTGCCCAGAGAAAAGTGTGAGTTGATCGGAATGCTTTTTTAAATAAAACACCCTGTATATTATTGCATTTTTGGTTTCCTTTTAAAGGACTTTACATCATCTTAAGATATGAGTAAATATATTTCGATAATTTCAGAGATTTTAGGTAATAAATAAATAAATAAAAAATATATTTTTTTCAGCCTTTTAAAAAAAAATGAAAAATACAAGAACTCTCCTGAAATCAAAACTATATTAGATATTTACTTTAGATGGTCTGTACTTAGTTTGCTATAAATATGGTAATCGTAAATCATACAGGATGGTCAAAATTCTACGCCAAACTTTCTAAAATATAAAATAATTTTTTTTTAAATCGGACACCCTGTATATTATTTTTTCAATAGATGAAGAAATAAAAAATGAACATTTTTTGTATTTAGAGCATTTCAAAATTTTTAACGGTTTTGCAGATGTTCGTGGTTTTATATTTCATGAGGCATTTTCGACAGTAAATTTTTATCAAAGCCACCCAGTGATTTTTTTCTCGTATTTTACCGTTGAAAGATCCATATTAAATAATACTGCGTATATCATCTGTGAAACCATTAAAAATTTTGAAATACTTTAAATAAAAAAAAATGGTCATTTTTTAACTCTCCATCTAATAAAAAAATAATATACACTATGTTCTATTTAGAAAACGAAAGAAAAAAATATTATATATGTATTTTAGAAAGTTTGACGTACGATTTTGAACACCCTGTATGATTTAAGATTACGATATTTATAGCAAAGTCAGTATAAACCATATGAAGTAAATTAGTATTTTATAATTATTAATATCTCTGAAGCTATCGAAATATATTTACTCATATCTCAGGATTATTAAAGTGATCTGAAAGGAAGCCAAAAAGGCAATAATATACAGGGTGTTTATTTAAAAAAAATCATTCCGGTCAACTCACACTTTTTTGAGCCACTTATATACATCCTCGTACATACTTTAGATCTGCACTTAAACAAAATTCTCAAGTTTTTTATTCTAGGAGCTACACTATTGTCGGGCCCTGTATATCCTTATAATTATTGATCAATAAAATAACAATTATTTACTATAAAACAAGCATAAAATAATACAAAATAGACACAGAAAAGCCTAAAAGACTGGCAAAAAAATCATATTTGTAAAGAGATAATAATATAAAATTATTATAATTAATATATTGATATAAAACTGGTCTTTTAGACTACTTTTTTAATCTATTTAATTACTGTAGTCATCAAATCAATGTCTATTTTTAGGTGTCTTACATAGTCAGAGAGCTCTGGCTGAAGTTACCGAAATGATCAGAACAAGTCACTTGGTACATAAAGGTTTGGTAAATTTACAACCACCTAACAACATCGATGCAACAGGTGATATGATGTTTGGAAACAAAATTGCTTTACTTAGTGGGGACTATCTATTGAGCAACAGGTAAGCTGCGTATCACGAGATGCTTATAGGCACAGCCTATTTATAACCAGCCTGCTTTTTACCACAGATTATTATATCAGATGTGGCACTTAATTTCATCTTCCTGGTAAATGCCGCCGTGACCTCGGACTGCCTCGGACCTTTAAAAGGAGTATGACGTTGTCAGATTTCGTTTTTTTTCTCGAATGCATTGTTGCCTTGTGTAAAAAATGGATTCCTAATTAAAATTGGGAATGCATTTTTTTTAGATTTTTGTCATATTTTAAGTTCTTACAAGGAAGTGCCAATTCGTAGGGCAATATTTCTTTATATTGTCACTTGGTAAAAGCGTAAACATAAAGGGACAAAACAGGTATTAGTCTAAAAATTATAAAAGTAAGATTGGTTGACGAATGAAGATTTTTTATGAATACTAAAAAAACAACCAACTGATCAGATAATAGTCTTTTTATTATTAAAAGCCAGAGTTTTTATGTCTTAATATTAGTTGAGTATAACAAGTTTACTTTAAAAGTTGAGTATATTTATACAGGGTGTCCCAGAAATAAGTGCAAATATTTTAACTAGTAGTATAGTTCAACCCCAGAAACACATCTATGAGGTTTTTTTATGCGAAAAAGAAATGTTGAAAATTGAAAATTTTTCTTGACATTTTCCGGAAAATTTGAAAAAACTTTTTAGTGCCACTTGTTTATTCACCTGAGATTTCTCTACGGTGTATCTAAACCTTGCAGTGTTGCAACCTCCTATGTTATCCACATTCTACATAGTTCTACATTTATAAATTCATAGACAAATTTCTACTCAAAAAATTAGGAATGTTAAATTTAATCTTTTATCGGTGCTCATTATTAATAATTATAGAAAAAAACACTTTAATTATTTTTAGTACTTACCCTTTCAATGAAAACTTAACAAAAACCACCGCAAATTAACTAAAACATTACGTTTATGACGTTTACGAAAATCTTTGTTATACTGCAAAATAACTTTATTTTGGAATAAATTTAAATAAAATGATTCTTCATGTTATTCACAATCAGGTCACAAAAAAGAAATTCCTAAAATGTTTATCGCAATTTAGAATTCAATATATCGAAAACAGCCCAACGAATAATCGATTCATTTTTGTTTTGTTTGTTTTCTTTCATGTTCCTCTGTTTTATTTGAACCACTGATTTACAAAACACCTTGAAAAGCGCACATTACTTTGATGAATACCTTTCTGAATGAATAAATGTTGAGAATTATTGTCTCTTATCGCCACTTTACGAACTACTTTCAATCTAAGAAAATACATGTTTCACTCAACAATTTTAAATACGTATTTTGTTTTTTCGCTATTTTTTCGATGTTTTACGACAATTCCATCGACAACCGAACCGTCTGCCAGGAGTGCTGCGGTCTAGTATTTATTTTATCTACTGCTCCTATTAATTCAATTCTTATGAATACATAGATATATTGAGTTACATATATCATGGTCATTTTTGTACTCCACAATCCTATAATGCTAAAATTCTAATTTTGTTTCTTAAAAATCCACTGTCCGTAAAGTCGACCAGACCGCAATATGACTTACATTTTCATTTTTTAATTTAAATCGTTTAAAGTTTTATGAGAAAAAAACGGGAGGTCAAAAATATAAATTAATCAGCCAGTAGTAATAATTTCTGGTACAGGAGCAAAATAAATAGAAGTTGTCATCATACTAGCATACCAAATCTTGTTTTTTTAATTGAAAAAGTAAAAAAGTTGTAGGGATGAACCACTTTTGAGACGCACCCGGTATATGTCTATTCTGTCTAAAAATTTATGATTACTAGCTTTAAACGGCAATAACTTGTTTAATTTAAATGGAACAGCCTGTATATTTTACGAGAATCAGATGCACAATTTAATTGTCTATCGAATTATATTCTGCAATGTTTATCTATCTCTTCAAGTTTTCGTAGAAAATGCATTTTATTATAAGTTAATCCTCATTTATCAATATACCCATGGAATATTGACATTTTAGATTATTTTTAAAGATGTAAAAATTTTTCAAAGAGTAGTAGATGCTAATATTGTCATATAGTTCGCTTATTTCATTAAAAAAACTTAAAAAAAAACTGTTTAAATATTATTTGTTAAAGAGGACCAATTAATATGATCCTTATAAATTTTATTAACAGAGATATTCACATTCATAACTTATTATTATATTGATTTCTCATTCAAATCCACATTTATTCATAATAATTTATTAAGTAACACAGGTTAAGTATGTAATTAATTGATATTTGGGCGGGAATAATGGTGGTATATTTAATTGGTACAAAGCAAGGTTATTATATTAAATAATTAAATAACCTTGGGTACAAAGATTTAAATAGTTTTCTTTTTGTAAACAAATAGGCTAGCAATATTATCGTTTTTAGCGCCTGTACACGTGACAGTTTTATTTCTAAGTTTGTGCACCCCCAAATTATTGACCCACGCGTCACCCCTGTGTAAAGAGGTTGAAGAAGTAATTTGGCATAAACTTTTTTTCAATACAACCCAATAATAAAAACCAAATTCCTTGATAAATTTTTGATATAATCTGTATACAGGGTGTTTCAAAACAAATGCGAAAAACTTCAGGGGGTAATTCCTTGTTCAAAATAAAGGGTAGTTTGCTTCATAAACATTGGGTCAAAAGTCAACCATTAGGGAGATATTGCGGTACAAAGATGGCGGAAAAATAATGTTTTTATTTTTTATCTTGAATACGAAAAGAGATAGACTAATAAAATTTTATGGAAGCATTACTGTTATGAAAACACACTTTCTGGTAATTTTTTCACTTTTTTAAAATGAGTGGAAGGGGTTGAAATAAACTACCCCTATCATTCTTGTTAACGAAATTTAAAGAAAAATCTTATCAAACACATACAAAAAAATTAATTTGGATAGTTTAGTTTGTTTAGAAACTTTTTTATCTCTTGTATTTTTTTGATAAAACTCACCGATTTGAAATTAAAAAATAAAATGTAAAGCATTACATGTCAGGACAAAAAACATTTTCTGATAAAGAATCTAGTGAGCTGCTGTAATTTTTTTAGGAAAAAATCTAGTCGGCCGCTGTTACTTTTTAGGATGTTCCTAATATTATTTTATTTGACATTACTCTACTGCAATACGTTATTATCTAGATGATTATTATTATCGTTATTATCACTAGATTCTTAATGTAAAAATGTTTTTTTGTCCTGACATGTAATGCTTTACATTTTATTTTTTAATTTCCAATCGGTGAGTTTTATCAAAAAAACACAAGAGGTAAAAAAGTTTCTAAACAAACTAAACTATCCAAATTAAAGCATTTGCATGTGTTTGATAAGATTTTTCTTTAAATTTCGTTAACAAGAATGATAGGGGTAGTTTATCTCAACCCCTTCCACTCATTTTAAAAAAGTAAAAAAATTACCTGAAAGTGTGTTTTCATAACAGTAATGCTTCCATAAAATTTCATTAGTTTATCTCTTTTCGTTTTCAAGATAAAAAATAAAAATATTATTTTTCCGCCATCTTTGTACCGCATATCTCCCTAATGGTTGACTTTTGACCCAACGTTTATAAAGCAAACTACCCTTTATTTTGAACAAGGAATCACCCCCTAAAGTTTTTCGCATTTGTTTTGAAACACCCTGTATAACGTCTTTAAATTATGATTTGTTCAGTTGTATAGAGCTGGCTAACTTGAGAAACCAGGATTTGGTCGAGCTAATGAGTTCAGCGGTTCGAGATTTGTCAGAGGCTGAATTCGTCGGCCCTAGAGATAAACAAAACAACCCCTTACCGGCCAAGCCTAAGTCGAATCAGGTGGAATATACTCAGTTTACTGATAACAATCTGGAACCGTTGGTGGTGAGTGAAGCACTAGGCAATGCTCAAGCAGAGTGGACATTAAGACATGTTTTAAATGCTGGTAAGAATAAAAATATTTTTTAATTTTATCTACTACTCCTATTAATTCAATTTTTGTACTCCACAATCATATAATGCTAAAACTCTAATTTTGTATTTTAATCGTATTTTTGTCATTTTTTAACGTCATCTGTCAAAATCTTCCCTGATTCGTTGGTAAGATTTAAATTTATTTTATTTTCAGGTTCTCTTCTTGGTAAATCATGTCAAGGCACGTTGAAACTGGCAGGACACTCGGAGGATCTTCAAGAAAAAGGATATTTGTTCGGGAAGCATTTGGCGTTAGCATGGCAAGCATGCCTCGACAGAGAACCATTCCAACAAGGTAAACATTCTTATTTTTTTATTGCTTTTTTAGGTAATACTTTGATTTAATTTTTAGGTTCAACTGGGCCATTTAGTTTGGTATGCGCGCCAATGATCTTCACTCTTCAACATAAACCTGAACTTTACGTGCATATTGAAAATGGGCTGGAAACGGTTGATGATGTTGATTACGATCTTTTAAGGAAAGAGGTAAATATAGTTCTTCTCGCGTAACATTTCCTCGGTCTGGCATTTGACATTGTGTATGATGGCGCTTTGGTTAAATATAAAAATGCGCTTTATGGTAGACGCTGCGTGACGATCCGTATTAGCACAGAATATCTAGCTACGCAACAGAAGCCTCGTTACATGTATAAAATTGTAGGTAGCAAAAGGAGACAGGCTTTAAAAGTCTGTCTCCAAATCAGATATTTTGATGTGGTAGTTTCGCTACTACATAATAGAGGGCAATAAATTTAAAAGAAAACAGTTTTCTACAAACAAAATTTAGAAGAATTTTGTGCAGTGTTGCCATTGTGTAATTCATATCGAATACTTCCTGATAAAGCCTACCTTCAAATTTGCTACATCATTTAAACATATTAAAATAGATCAGAGCTGTTTTTTTCAGTTTGCCATGTTAGTTGGAATTAAATCTTATGAGCTAAATTACAACCACTTCCTGACGTTTGATTGTATAATTGAATCCTGAATTTTCATTGTAATTCGGCGACAATATAATAAGTATTGTTCTACTATTATGATACCACTTCCTGACGTTCGATTGTGTTCATACCAAGTTCATATTGTATAATCGGGAAAAAACGGCGTTAACGATAGCTATGAAATGAATATCACTGTCATTTTATATGTAAATTTATATGGGAAATGTCATCGATCGTCCTTTTCCAGCCAACTGGACGCCGTTTTTTTCAGAAGCATATCAAGTGATACCATAATATAGTACTATATTACGATACATGGCATTCGATTGGGCTTAAACTTGGTATACTATATCTTCAGTGACATTGTAATATCATGGTACATGGCGGCAATAGGGCTTAAACTTGGTATACTACGTATTTTCGGTGACATTGTAATATGATGGTACTATGATGCATATCATCTGGTACCATATTATGTACATGGCGTTCGATTGGGCTTAAATTTGGGATACTATGTATCTTCGGTGATATTGTAATATTTTGGTACCATGGAGCATAATAAGAGGTACCATAATATAGTACCATATTACGATATCATTTCCTGGCGTTCGATTGGACTTAAATTTGTTATACTACGTATCTTCGGTTACATTGTAATGTGATGGTACTATGATGCAAATAAAGTGGTACCTTAATATAGTACCATATTTCAATACCATTTCCTGGCGTTCGATTGAGCTCATATTTGATATATACTTGCGTATTTTTGATGACATTGCATTATTATGGTACCATGAAGCATATCAACTGGTACTATAATATAGTACTATATTACGTACATGGCGTTCGATTGGGCTTAAACTTGGGATACTACGTATTTTCGGTGACATTGTAATATGATGGTACTATGATGCATATAAAGTGGTACCTTAATATAGTACCATATTACGATACCATTTCCTGGCGTTCGATTGGGCTCAAACTTGGTACACTACGTATCTTCGGTTACATTGTAATATGATTGAACTATGATGTATATAAAGTGGTACCTTAATATAGTACCATATTACGATACCATTTCATGGCGTTCGATTGTTCTTAAATTTGGTATACTGCGGATCTTCGGTGACATTGCAATTTTATGGTACCTTAAAGTATATCGAGTGGTACCATAATATAGTACACTATTATGGTATCATTTCCTGGAGTTCGATTGGGCCCAGATTTGGTATACTTGCGTTTCTTTATAAAGATTTGTTTAATTAATAATTTAAATTTATTGTTCGATGACGTGACAGCAACTTTTATGCCGAACTAATATATTATTAATTGTACCTGTGTCACTTTTTAAAATCTACCTAGGTCTATATAAATAACGTGGCAAACAGAAGGAATTTGTTATTATACTATTTTTTAGCCAGTTAACATTTTTTGTACTGCATTTTAATAAATTATTTCCATTATTATTAAACTTATATTTCATTACTTACGTTCCAGCATTAATAAATATCACTATCAATCGCCCTGTATATTATTAATTTTAAAGGTAATTAAAGGTATTTTCTTAGTTAACATTATAAGGTAGTGTATATTAAAAATGTATATGTTTTGTAATAATATACTTAAAACTATTTTAATAGCCAAAGGAATAATTAATATAAGTGTATCTGACAAGAAAAGAAGAATAGAAAGAAACACACTGCATTATACACAATAAAAAGAATGGGATGCCAATTCAAGTCTTTTTGAATCTGGCAACTGTGCATATTTAGCTGAGCTATAAGGCCGTCGACGAGCCGTCGATCCAAAACCGAAAGTTCAAAATTTCTAATTATATTCTGATTATGATATTGTCGCGCCATCTAGTATTCTATTTGTGCAATTTTAGCTCTTTCATTTCGAGTATTTTTCTGTTGCGTAGCTAGATATTCTGTGGTATTAGGAATATTTTGATTTTCAAGATATACAGGGTGAGTCTTGAATAAGTGCAAATATTTTCAGGGCTGGTAGATCTCTGGTTAAAAGACAGTTCTTTACAGTTTTTCAAATGAGTCCAAAATAACCGAATTATTATTAATATTTTGATTAAATTTTGATAACCACTGGATCTTTTCTGGGTTTTCTTCCTTGAAAATTTAATCTACTACCTATGTTGCCATATTATCAAGAAATTATGTTTTTTTATTATAATATTTCATATACAGGCTCTATAAAAGTATCATTTTTTTAAGGTTATGGAAGGACCAGGGTTGGACTTGACCAAAAAACTACAAAAAGAACACTCACAAGCTGCCTTACAAGTTTTGAACGAACTTCCAGCCTCCGATGCCAGAACAGCACTGGCAAATATAATTGCAGCCATGCAAGAATCTTAGCGTTAATAAGTTTATACTAATTAAAACAGGTAGGTGGAGCAACTAAAATACCGTATGATCGAAAAAAAAAACGGCGTCGAGACGGCTGGGAAACGACAATCGATGATAATTTTGGCGCGGTCAATCTTTAGACGTCATGTGCTAAAAACTTCACTTTAACCTTCTTAAGGCCATTAAAATATAAAGAAGAGTACAGGCTAATTAAATGACGTCTAGTGGGGCTTGACCTCGACAAAATTATCATCGATTGTCATTCCCCAGCCGTCTTTGACGCCGTTTTTTTTTTTCGATCGTATGGTATTTTTATAGGTATATAAATAAAACATTGTTATATTTTTTATATATATGTATATTTTTAAATTTTATACTGTTTATAACTGTAACTGTTAAAAAACTACTGTGATAATGTTATGAATTCGATAAGATTTGTACTTATTTTGTATAATATTGAGGTGAAGGAAAAATAATAAATAAAGGAAATAAAATAAATAATAATTTAATATAAACCTGCATAAATTCACTATAGCAATTATGGCATACTTTGATTCACAAAGCTTTCACTAAATTCTCCAGGGCCTGCTTAGCATCACTGTCATTGAATTTTTGCAGAATATCAATACTGGTACCGACAAATTCCTCTTTAAGATTTTCTGTAATTTTTAATGCAGGTCCTTGCAGAATAATTTTTTTAAGTTTTCTATAATCACAGTCGTAAATGTCATCGGACCCTTTCAGTATTTCAGTGTAGAAATTTGGATCGTGTTGCAAATGAAACACGACAGGTGCTACAAATATTAAAATTGAAGAATTTTCAATAATTTTAAATTATTGTTGTTTACCTGATATTAAGCTAAAATTTTCTCGTTTACTGTCATTAAAACATTCTAAATCGTAGTGTGCCTGCCAGGCTAAAGCCATGTTCCTTCCAAACAAATAACCTAGCTTTTGGAAGTCTTCCGGATGATCTGCTAATTTTAGAGCAGCTTGGCAACACTTAGCTAATAAACTTGCACTACCTGAAATAATGTTAATAGTCTCTTAATATACATATTTTTAAAAATATTATCACTGTTTACCTAGAAAATGCCTTAAAGTCCATTCTGCCTTGGCATTACCTAGAACTTCTTTTATTTTTAAAGGTGCAGTTCCAAATTCGTTTGGAATTTCCACGTTCTCTTGATTTTCTAAAGGTTTAGCTGGCAAAGGCCTATTTTGTTTGTCTCTAGGTTCAATAAATTCAGCCTCGACAAGGTCACGCAAACATGTAGATACCAACTCATTCACTTCCTGATTTTTTAAGCCGGCAAGTTCACGAAAACTATTACTAAGTAAAAAATCACCTAAAATTAATATCAATTCTTATAAAATTGTAATATTTTAAAGTTAATACTTTACCTGTAAGTAAACTTAGAGTATTCCCATAATTTAAATCGGGAAAATCATCTAAATCTTTTTTGTAAATGTTTAAAACACTGTTATGGAGTATGTTGCTGGTTCGGATCATTTCAGTTACTTCGGCAAGAACTCTTTGACTGTGGAGTATGCCAGCAGTAACGTCTTTATCTATATCGGAGAATCCTTTCCCTAAACCGCCGGCTTTCGAAATTAACAACACAATTAGGCCCCATGTAGGTGTTTGGCCTCCTATAATGAGATCTCTAAAATGTGTATACTTAGAACCGTTATACATATAGAAATATAATCAAACCTTGCTGCTGCAAGTAGTGGATGGTTTGTACCAATAAGTTTCCTTATATGTCGTGCTACATTAGCCACTTCATCGTTTAATAACCAGCGAAGGCTTAAAAATGAGGTGGGATACCCGACAATTTTTTCAGCTTCGTTTACTGCCTTAAAACATACTGTTTCTTCTTTGGATTTGGTAACTAGATTATTTATGGCACTGTAATGAATACTTTTAAGTAGTTTTTTCGGGTTATTTCTACATATTTTACATGATAAATTCATCATTTTACTTGTGTTTTGGAATTTACGCGACTTGACATTATGCAATTGTTTTGATTTGTTTTTTTAGGTTATTTTCTTTTTAGATCACATTTTTTGATATTGGAGTAAATATTTACCACTTCTGGTGAATATATTTGATGTGTATTTGATGCCATGATATAAATTATTGCGAAATATGGTTTATGAAACAAAAATATTTAAAAATTTGAAATCATTTCAAAAAATCTTCGTCAGAGTCATCTATGTTTCGGCGACTAAACATTTATCAATAAGTAGAAATCTGTTTTTGGGTACAGTGACATCTATACGGAATATCGCGAACACATCATTTATTGAGATAGTTATCTAGAATCGCGGATTGTGATGTTTTACTAAGTTCAGAACGTTTTTAATAGATGGCGTGTAAATCGTAAAAACAAAAAAGAAATAGTGACGAAAAAAACGTATTTCTTTTAGCACAGATTTTAGTAACTGTTTTTATGATTGTTTTATTAATATTTAATTTGTGCTTTAACAAAGATAAAGATGTGTTTAAGTAGTGATTTGTGATGTATAATTTCAGCTCATAATTTGTTTTAAGGGTAAGTAAAACACTAGTATTTGCTTTGATAATTTTAATTTTATTTCAAAGTAATAGACAATACACAATTTAACAGATCATAATTTTGCTTAATAATCTAAAAAATAACATAAAATCATAAACACAGTAGAATTTTCAATACTTTTATACTACTTTTCGTATAATATACATTCTTAATATGTCTATTTACATTTCTACTAAAGTTTCTTCAATAATTTAAATACATATTGCTTACGTAGAAAATAGTAGACTTATCGAATAGCTTTAAATTGAAAATAATATATAGAAGAAAAAATAAACAATAAATTCAGTATGGTACAAAATAAACAAAAGGAATGTTATATCATCAATTATTTTCATCTTAAATAGAGAATATAGATATATAATATATTTGTATATATCTCTAAACTATAATAGAATATCTATATAATTTAAACATTATTATATTGGTCCTTATACCCAAACAATATTGCTTGTCTGTAACAATTTCTGGATGAGTTTACTGTTTCAAAAATTCTATTTTGAAGTCTTAAAATCATCCAGCTGACAATGTGCAATCAAAATCAACGGAAAATTGATCAACCCTGCATAAATACATCTTTAATACTTTTAATAGATAAATATACAAGAAAAAAAAACTGTATCAACACGTCCTAAAGAGGATCACTATGTGTATAAGCCACTACGTTCCTATAGGTTTATATATAAATGTTCATTTATATGTATAACAACTCTACATGGCTAGTAGAAAGTTTAGATCATGTAAATAAGAAAAGTCATCTAAAGTTTAAAAATACTGGTGGTCTCAAGCACGGACGGCAAGTATAAAGATATGGTCGAAATTGTTATAAAGTATTCGCTATAATTGTATTCATTTCTAGAGCGTATAGTACAATATATGTGTATAAATAGCTTATAGAGGCCTTATAGAGGTATCTCATAAAACACTATTATATTTATGAATCGAGAATATAAAATTATATAGTTTGTGTCTCAAAATACCTTAGCTATACAGAAGCTACAGTGAGCGTCGCTTCCTTTGAACTATGTCAATTATGTACAATAATTTTTTGACCTTGATGTCACAAAAATTTTGACAAATTGATCTTGGCAGCCTAAACACTATAATTTTTTGTCTAATATTTTTTAACAGCATTATAGAATCGTAGAAAGATTAAAATACTTTTTTCTTTCTTTTTTTGGAAACTATAGAAAAGTTGTTACACATAAAAGAATAAAGAATATGGCGCCCAACGTGGGGCCAATAGAATGTCTACAATTTTATTGAAAGAAATCTTTAAATAAACTATTTACTAAAATTCATAAATAAGTAAATATAAATTCAAAAAGAAGTCTAAATTAAAATAAAATTATAAACATGATTGCAATGGTTAAAAGAGGAAATATTAATCAAGGCTTAGGTACTTAAGCGTCTTTGATGATTTTTTTACATTTTGATGTGTATAAAATACAGGTAAAAAATGTAAAAAAGAGGAGGAAACAGTATTTTTCTTTCCTCCAAACCTATACTTTTAATTTATTCCGCATAAATTTTGGTTTCTATACAAGACAAAAAATATCAATAAATTGATCCTTGATATTAAGCATCAGCTAATCAAAATTTGACAACCGACATCATCAAAATTTATAGCTTAAAAATATGAGAAATAAACTCACTTAAAAATTTGGTTCGCGAAAAAATCGCACTTGTCGCTTCTGTATGGTCCAGTTATTCTGGACTCGAGCGTCTTCTTATCTGAGACACCCTGTACATAATTCGTTAAAAATCAGCATTTTAAATTTCTCACCACGATATACAAGTTTTATTTTATATAATAATTGCAATATAAAGATTTTTGGATTTTGTATTGTGGCAATGAATATATCTGTTCCTTTAAATAATATAATTTTAAATATTTACAAATAGGTTTGTAATTTTTATATTACTAGTACAAAATCCAAAAATATGTTTTAGTTGAACACACCTTGTAAATTTGTGTGAATTAATTATGAGACTCTTGATCACATTGAAAACCTGTCTGTCATAAGTAAAAAATTAAAATCCATAACATTTTCAGTGTATATTAGACTTGTTCAATAATACTTTATAGTAAAGTATTGTATCTATTTGATGACTTGTGGTGTTTTGCTTGATGCATATTTTAGAGCAAGAAAACAAATTGTCAATTTTCTTGAATTTTTGTCAGTCTCAAGATATTTACCCTTACAAAGAAGTGAACAACAATTTTTGTGTTGTTCTGCTAAATATTAAGTTAATATTAAAATTATTAGGTAGGTATACCTAGTACCTATCTATAATATTCAATAGCATTTTGGCTCGGCTTGTCAATTTTATTTAAAAGCAATTTTTTACACTATACAGTTTCGTCTGTCGACTCTATAAAGGGTGTCTCTTAAAAAAATGTAAAACAGCGTCTTGTTCTTTTTACCATTTTTAAAATAAATTGAAAATAACTGAGTTATTTAACTTGAAAATTTTTAAATAAATTAATGCTTACATTTTGAGAACCGCCGGAATCAACCGATCAGCCAGTTCTCAGCTTATTCGATGTGTTGCCCACATGGACAAGAAAGTACGTATATACATAATTTAATGGAAAATAATATGATGAACTGTACTAAAAATGTATTAAGTGTGTGTTAAAAACGTGTGTTCTACAGTCACTTGCTAGTATAGTAATCATTTTGACCCCACGTTGGGCGCCAAATATAATAGGGCAGCGAAATAAAAAAGATTGAAGTATTATTTCACACATCTATCTAATAAAATTTACTCATTTGCTTGTAAAATCAGTTCAGTTGAAAATAACTGTAAAAATCTACTAGTATTTGTTAAAAAATAAGTACAGTGCGTTGTTCTAGAATTATTAAACTGACATAATTAAAATTAATTTTCCTAATTTAATTATGTAGAAAATATAAATTATTGTGTGAACTTTACTTATTAGTGATAATCACACAAAATTGCAATGAACCTGTAGTATAAAAAGTTTTTTAAAATGTCCAGGAAAAAGTAAAGAAAAATTGAAAATCTGCAACAACCTTTACAAGAAAAAAGCCTCATGGGTGTATATCTAGGGTCGAACTTTACAACCAATTAATATACAATAATGTAAATATACAAATGTTACTGATGTTCAATTCCAAGCCAACTGGACGACGGTTTTTCTTTCGATCATACAGTACTTGTACTTATTTAAGAGACATCCTGGATATAAAGAGTTCCAATAATTATTGTCATCCTGCGATGACTCCACGCGTATATTGCAAGACCTTCTATTTAAGAGGGTGGTAATGATATCAGATTCACGAAGGACATATTGCTTACTTATCATCTCTACAATTTAGTAATCTGTGGTGGGTACTTATCGTGATGCTAAAAGCAGCAAAACTCCTTGTCATACTTTTCTCTGTTGCATCTTAAAATGCACCACCGCACCAAGTCGACTCCTCTCATGTTAGTTTCTTTTAAAGCCCAACTTAACCTTAAAAAAATTATCTTTCCTCCACCCCGAGGATTCGCGACATAGACTTATTTAAATTGCAATAACATCACTAACTAATGTACCATTCCTGAGCTGGGAGGCGAGCCCAAAGTATCAATGTCCCTCTGCGCCCTACTAATTTTACTCTTGTCCTTCGGCGTGCCCTGTTCTCCCGTCTCCATCGCGAACATCTTCATCTTCTCCTTGAAGCTCAGCTTTTCCGGTACCGGCGTGTTCTCGTTCTGGTTCTTCTTCTGTTGTTCCGCTAAACGTCGCGCTCTGGGGTCTCTGTACACCTCCTGAGCACCGATAACGCCGGGCGTGGCCGTGGAAACGTTGGGACTGGCGTCGGTGGGCGTGGTCGGCGACGCCAACATAGATTCAGCCTGCAGGATGAAACTCTGAAAAAATGGAAGAGGGTTAGTTTTGGGGAGTTGGGGGGTTTCAGTAAAGGTTTAAATAAAAATAATAAGACAGGAAAACACACAGACGCACAGTTCTTTAACATAGTGCAGGTCAGTCTGTGCAGTTTAACTGTTATTTCTGCGTTTTAAAAGTTTCTTTAGTTCTTTTCTGAAAGAACTTTTTAAATTGTTTAATCTGTTTAACAACTTCTTCCTATTTGCTTCCAAATCAATCTCCTACGTCTTTTACCAACGCTTCATAAGATGCGGATTCCTTATATTAATATGTCGATTTATACCGACCCAAAAGTAAGACTTGCCTGCACGGTATAGTTCAATAAATTGACATAAAAACTCTTTATTACAATTTAGCATTTTGTTGGGTTTATTTTGTAGTTTCTTAGTTAGGTGTAGTTTCTTATGAATTAACTTACATTTGGGTCTTCTCTTTTGGTCGTTTCTTCGATGGGTAAAGTGTTTGGTACTTGAGGCGGTGGTTGGATGTTATTTTGTGTGGAGGCTGGATCAAAGGACACTCTTTTACTGACACCTTCTTTAGCTCGCAATGACATTATAGCAAAACTTGAGCCCCTGGAAAGAAGTCACAATTTAGTTACTTTATGCAACCATGATTGTAAAAGAAGATAACATAATTTAATTATATTACATTAGTGATTAAACTCAGGCTTTAGATGATTATAGTTTACCTTTCTGGTGGTGGTGGTGCTGATATCTCCGTAGGCGACGCTGGTCCCTGATTCGTCACGTGAACCTCTCGCTGATGATTATTGTTGTTGATGACGGGAGGAGGGGCTTGCTGGTTGACTCCGCCCGGTTTCAGAATCGAAGTAGGCGGCACGTGCGTCGGTTCCTGCTTGCTGGACACCGTGGTCGACGGCACTGAGGTGATCACTGTCTGACTGGAGACTGGTTGAGGCATGAGATGCTGCGGAGACGGAGATTCCTTAAGAAAGGTAATCATCGAGGTTAGTTCTCACATAATGTTTTTCCAGATTTATAAACTTGCTTTAAAACCAATTATTGATGACCAGGTCTTTATAAATGTTTGTACTATTATAGTAGTTTCGTATATTTCATATCAATTAAACTTTTAGTTACGTAATCGAGGGCTCTATTTTTAAATTCATTGTTGCCAACCCTGGACATATTCGGCGCCGTGCTGACTAACTGGAATTTAAATTTCGCGCTGACGATTCAGGTGTGGTAGCTCTGCTGTATAAAATGTCAAGTTGCCGCATTTATTTATTTATTTCCTGACACTGTCATTCGTTTTGACACTTTTTTGTATTACGAGTTTTTGGTTTAAATGAATTGTGTGGAAATACTTTAAGCTTAAATATGTTTATTAGCAGACCTTGCAGTCGAACATTGTTCTTTTTAGAACCTCTTTTAGTGTGACATGGTACGAGAGCTTAATAGCCGTAAAAAACTCATCGCAACTTTATTAGAATATTTTGAACGGGAAAGCGGTAGTAATGGTTCTTTATGTCTCTTAACTGCTGTGTAACAAGAAGGTGAGTTTTGTTGATGTAAATAATAACTGTTTATATATTTATAATTAATTTATTTTTGTTTCCTAAAATATTTTGATTAAAAGAAAATATATAAAAGTGGGCAACGCTGTGCTGGTCAAGCTTAAACACGTCACTAAAAGTTTATTTGGCATGAACTGTAGAAGAGTACGTACTTTTTCGGTATCTTCATCGTCTTCGCCAGCTGCTTCTTGAGCTCTTCTTTGAAATTCTCGTTCCAGTTGTAGGACTCTCAATTGTTCTTCTTGTTGAGGCGTTCGGTATGGTAGTGATGCAAGTTCTCTGATTTGTTGTTCTTGCCATTGCCTAGCCGCTTCCCGTCTGGCTTCTGAAATTAAATTCAAAATTATTTATGAATTTAAAAATTCTAAAATCAATAGAACCCCAAAAGATCCCACCCCTTTTTTGCAGAGAGCACTTGGTATATCTCTCATTTTGTAATAAAAATTTAGTAGTCATACCTTGTTGTCTTTCTTGTTCCTCTCTAGCCCATGGATCTCGTGGCGGTTTCGAGTTCTGAGTAGAAGACGCGGCCGGATAGTAAGCCATCTTTGGAGGATCCTGATTGGACGCTGTGTAAGTGTTCGAGTCACTCTGCGTCGATGTCGGTGAATATAACGGGTGAGTGCTCGTTGGTGGTAAGGCAGGAGGTGACTCAGTTCGTTTACTCATCTTTTGTGGTAGATTCTGAGGCCTGTAAGTCGGCGAGGTAGGTCCGTGAGTCCCATAATACGAACCGCCAGCACCAGCTTGCTGATAATTGGTTTGAGCTGAAGTATTTGGTGGATAATGCTGGTTATAACTTGTACTAGCCTGCGTCACAGGCTGACTATTTTGATATGGAGCATTTAAAGATAGATTCTGCATGGACTGAGCCATATGCGTGTTATAGTAATGCTGCTGTTGCTGTTGCTGATAGAACGCGTTAGGAGGCATCTGTGAGTTGTATTGCTGATTCATCATCCTAGCCTGTTGATGTTGCTGCCTTCTTCTGACTTCCTCGCCCATTTCCGCTAATTTGGCCTGTCCCCTGAGTATTCTTTCTTCGTTGGTAAGCCTTTGTTGATGCAAGTGGTCTGGGTTTGGTCTTAGCGGTTGATTGAGGTCGTGAGCTCTTATATTTCCGCTGCTGGCGTACCGCATCATCTCTCCTTGGTGATGATGCTTCAACATGTCATCACTTTTCGAGTTTCTTATTTCTTGATGTCTAGAATGTTATAAAAACATGAAATTTTATTTAAATTGCTAGAGATATTATTAGATAAAACTACTTTGTTAAACGCTTGTACAGAGTTAGCTTTATAATTTTTTGAATTTTTCAGCTAGAACATTCATAAAAAAACAAATTATAGGGTTCATCTAGCTTTAAAAATAAAAAAGTTAGTTTATTAAATGTGGTACAAAATAACACCCTAAAATCCTGCCATATTGCAAAATTTTGTTTTTTAAAATATAAGGGTCATTATTAGGTATATTGCCTGGTTAATGATAAAAGCAATAATATGACAAAAACCTGTTATTCATAAATAAAAGTAGCAACTTTAACTGTTATTTAAAAGTAACAGTTTTCAAATATTTGTTATATAAATACGAGTAACAGTAACAGTTTCAACCGTTATTTATAAATAACAGTTGTTAACAGTTAAATAGCAGTTGAAACTGATACTGTTATTTATATAAAAATATTATTTGAAAACTGTTACTTCTAAATAACAGTTAAAGTTGTTACTTTTATTTATAAATTGTAATTTATAAAAAACAATTTTGCTCGCCCCTGATGTGACGCGACTTGCCTTTTGCAAAATAACAGACACCTGTTATTTAAGCCATTATTTATAAACAACAGTAACAATTTCAACTGTTATTGAGAAATAACAGTGTTCTAAAAATGTGTTATGCAAATAACAGCTTCAATTTTTATTCATAAAAGTTCTTATTTACGAATAACGGTTTCAAACTTTTTGACATAAATAACAGTTTTTCTCACCCTTGATGTGACTTACCTGTTGAGATCTTCACTGCCCCGACTACTCTGAATCTGAGCCTCCGATATCCTGACGTTATTCGTGCTGGGATACCTCATCATCTCTTCATGTTTAGAGCTCTGCGAGTGTCTAAACATGTCCTCTCGCAGAAGTCCACCCGTACTACCGTATCCTCTTTGATCTATTCTACCATTTTCAGTTCTTTCATCTAACTTATTTGACCCATTGTTCGAACTAACGCTTCCTGGCATAGTGTTAGAGTTGATGTTGTTATGCAACTGATGTGGCATGGTGTGGGAAGAATAATTGTTTTGTACGTTATTGGGGTAGTTGGGAGTACTACTGTGAGTAGGCGAAGGGTAAGGCTGGTTGGGATTAGAGTAAGGTGAGCCATACTGAGAGCGATTTATGTCTTCGTTTGCGGGGTAGGCTTGTTGGTTGGGTTGACGTTGATACGCTTGTTGACCAGCTGGGTAAGCTTGGTGTTGCTAAATTATAATACACAATATTAAAAATATGTTTGCAAAAGACCCAAAAGACTTCTTAAGCTTGATTTTTTTTATTGACCTCCTTGCATCCACATTTACAGATGAAGATTGGCGCGAAAACGCTATGACCATTCAGAGTGCCGTCGTACCATCGTATCAACGGATAATGGACGCATGAAAATCAAGCTTAAGACTAAGAGAGCTGAATCATATAACAGATATGTACTATACTTACTCCGTAATATTGACCTCCTTGTCCTGTCATATTAGGATAACTGCCAGTTACACCTGCCGGCAATCTAGCGTTTCTTTCTTCCTCCCCTTGCTGTTGCAACCGTTGCATCGACGGCGGACTTTTGAGGTTAGGAATGGACTGGTGCAAGTTGGGCCTGTTGAAATTCGGCGCCTGATTGGCCGGGTAATAAGCAGAAGAAGGCCGTTGCGAATTGGGCGAAGTTATGGAAGATTGAAGAGAGTTTTGAGAAGAGCGAAGTGCCGAAGTCCTATACAACAGAAAATAATATCAAGAATGTGCTTGGCACTTAAATTATATAAAAAAAACACTTACCTATCACCCAATTGTTGTGGACTGGGCATTTTATTCCTATAAACGCTGAGATTTTGATAGAAACCTGCATCCTGCTGATTGAGGTTGTGTGTCGAGCGACTTCTTAATCCAGCAGGACCGTTCGGCACCGCGCCGTGAAGATTATTTGTACTGATACTGTTACTTGAAGACGTCCTGCAAAAACTAGAAGGATTAGTATAAGGACAAGTAAAGTTTATTTCACAAAGGTAAATATAACAGTAATAACAGAAATCTGTTATTTTAAGCTGTCATTTTTAAACTATAGTACCCAACATTGCCAACTGTTATTTAAAAATAACAGTCTTTCCTACCTCTACAATAAAGTTAATAATGTGAATGATTTCTAAAAAACTAGAACTATTTTTTTAAACTGTTATTTTTAAATAACAGTTCCCATTGTTATTTTAAAATAACATTTTCCCTACATCTACAATGGATATGACAGTCATAAATTTCCACAACAGCAGAGCTGCTTTTTAAAAACTGTTATTTACTGTTGTTAGTTGGAACTGTTATTTAGATATAGTTGAACTTTAGTTTGGTTTAACAGTTTTCCCTACCTCTCCCTTCCCTACCTGTTCGATGACGTGATGGCTTTCCAGAAAATTAAAACTATTTTTTAAATCTGTTATTTTTAAATAACAGTCCCATTGCTATTTTAAAATAACAGTTTTCTCTACCTCTACAATGGATATTATAGTCATAGTTTTCCACAAAAGTAGAAATGCTGTTTTAAAAACTGTTATTTCTAAATAACAGTTTCAACTGTTATTTAAATATAACAGTTTTCCCTACATCTACAATAAACTTTATAGACTATTTGTTTGTTAGAAATAACAGTTTTTTTTCTGCCGCTACAGTAAACTTAATAAAAAATATTCCAACAAATCTACAAAAATAGAAGTTAAACATTCACAGAAGAAACTTTATTTTCTTTAGTATTAGAATACCTCTATTATTATCACTTATTTTTTTCTGATGATTTTATAAACATGAATACGTACCCATCGACTAAGAAGTTGTTAGGCGGCCCACCAGGTACTCTAGGCTGCTCCTGATTGGGCGAATGGATTTGGTGTAAGGCCGGTACAGATTTAGAAGAAGGAATGCTGCGTTCTGAGTCGACTCGGGACGGTAGATCTCGTTCAGACATGCGTCTGGGGCCTGCGCAGAACAAAAAATTATAGAAATATCGTTCTTTTTTAAGAAAAACTTGGAAACATGAAGAAGAAGCAGAATAAAGAACTTTGATCAGGTATATTTAAAAATTATAATAATTATTGTGAATCTTTGAAAGGGATTTGAAATATAGTTACTTTTTCAGCGTGTGATAGTTCTCAGACTAAAAACATGTAAAATAATATAAGGATAATATCATATATTTCTTTATCTTATCTTTTAAGTGTTTTTAATATTTTCAAATATAATTTAGAATATAATCTGTCTTTATTCTGCTTTTGTATATAGAAATGAATATGAAAGAAGGTAAAATGTGCATAATAATAATATAAAAAATAATTAAAAAGGTACACTAATATAAAAATATTGCGCTACAACGATACAACTTAAAATCAAATCAAAAACACTAAGAGCAGCTCGGAAATGGTATGAAAATATTTAAAATAAACAAAACGTAGGAAAGTGCTCGAGACAGTATCGTAATCTTACGATGGACAAGACAAGCAGAGCCAGGGGAAATACCGGGGGCGTCTAACCTAGCAGCGTAAGGCTGTAGACCCAAGTCGAGGTCTTCTTCGGCTGGTGGCGTCATCAAAAACGGATCCTGCGTATCGCAGCGCCTCACCAACGGTATCGGGCGCTTAAAGCAGCACTTCGCGTTGTCCTGAAGGCTGTATTGCTTTAAAAAAGGTCTCGGTCTAACAGGAACCTTCGTCGGTACGTCCGAAAAATTATCGTCGAATGTTTTAGCGCGACAACCCTGACATTTATGTATATCGCACGATTCTGTCCTTGATGTTTTGGTTTCTGTATAACTTTTTGAAGTAGGGAATTCGTTTTTAAGTTTATCTAATCTATCGTCATTCAAAGACGCGCAACTTTGAACTTTTCTAGTTTTTCTGGGTGAATCTGTAGCGCTTTTCATGATAGGACAGGTTTTCTTAGCGTACCTACAACATTTTTTAACTGGTTTCTTTGGTTTTATATCCGAACAACTCTTCCAAGTTTTCGGGATGCATTTTTTCCGTAACACTATAACTTTAGGACTTTTAGGCCTGGAACTATTGTCATTGGTTCGTATTTTCTGAGGCTTTATACTTCCTTTTCTTGTAACAATGTAGGATTCCGGAAATTTCCGATGTTTGCGAATTTGCGTCAGTCTCTCCAAACTATCGCATCGTATCAAGTCTCCATTAATAGGCTTATTTGTTTCTATAATTTCACTATATCTTCTACTTTCGAAGTTTAGTTTAGGTACGCGTTTTTGTAGATTAATCTTGTTAATAAGGGCTTCGTTATTTTGAAGTTTTTCCTTACTATTTTTTAGAATGCTTTTAGGTTTGGTCGTGTTGAATATGTCTGTATCAGTCAATTCCTTATTGGTCCCATCTTTATTAGGCTTAAAATCGACGTTAAAAATACAATTCCTGAACTTACACTTATGTAGAAAGTCGTCTTCTAAAATGGTACTGTTTACTTTGGATTCGGAGTTATATTTCCCCAAGATTATCAACTCTTCTTCACCGGATTCTGGTACTTTTTTACGCGATTTTGGAGACAAATCCGGTTCAGAGTTGTATTTCTGACTAAACCTTCTGAAAGTTTGGTTAAGACTCTCTTCCAAGCTGTCTAAATTATCGATACTTTTAGCTCTGGTGAGATCCATGTTGAAGTCGCTCTTAGATTCTGAGCCGTTTAGACTCCAATCATGCAACAACTTCAGAATTTCTAGTCTTTCATACTCTGTAAGTTTGTCGTTAAGATTTTCTTCACTCACACTCTTGCTTCTGCTGGAAATGTGGTATTTTCTTTTATTTAACACTGGATCGCTTATGGCTTTGTTATCTCGTTCCAGATCCTTGGCATGCCGAATCTCAAATGGACTTTTCCAGTGTTTTACCGGTGTATCAGGGTCTATTTGGCTTAGATCCAGGTTGGATTCATAGATACCACTGTTAATAGACGATGTTGAACTGGATAAATCTATCATGGACGTCGAGGTAGCTTTCTGCCTTGACAACTTTTTAGTGCCGATGCTTAGGAACTTGTCAGTCTCACTAATACTATTGATATCCACGCAGCTCCTGTTGACATCAATAGAGAAGCTTTTAGCCTGGGCAAATTCTTGTGCTTTGGTCTTCGGTTTGGGAATATACTCTTCAATTTTTTCAGTCTTCATATTCTGACCAGTCTCATCGTAAGTCAGGGTAATGTTTTTTGGTCTGGGTTCACTGAAATCGGTCACTTGCAAGTTGAAAACCGGCTCGTCGCTTTGAATCTCGATTCTGGGTATGATGAATTTTCGCTTTTCCGATTTGAACAGGCTGTCGTCTGAGTTGAAGAACACGTTGTTCTTGGGTTTGTTCACTGGAGGAGTGTACATGGTTCTGCCTGTTTGCGAGTAAAGTGAATCGTTGGAGCCCATAGGGCTTCGCTGGTTATAGTAATGGTACTTCTCGTAATAGTTGTAATCCTGTATATAGGCTGCATGTAAAAAGATACGAAATACTAGCATTATACGTTGGGGTATACTGGTTTATGGATTAGCTTATTAGATTATTAATAAACTATTCTTGTTAATATATACAGGGTACATACAGTTATTGTAAGATTTAATCAGTACCCTGTATATATTTTAAAAATAGAATACATAAATTAGCGAAATTATTTTATAAATACCTCTGTGTGGGGTCGGACTGGGTTGTTGTAACAACGTTGCCAAGCCGTGGTAAACGGCTCCGCCTTTGGCGACTTCCAACGTTACAACGCTGCCAGTTTTAACCAGAAACTCGGCTGCTTTTTCCTGAGTAATTCCGAGCAGCGATTGCCCGTCAACTGACAGAAGTTGGTCGCCAGCTGCCAGTCTTCCATCTCTATCCGCAGCACCACCTAAAACAAAGACAACAAATAGTTATTTAAGTCGTTTTATTGTATTGAAGTTATATAAAAAATTACCTGGTACGACAGACTTGATGTAAATTCCTAATCTCTCTTGTCCAGCCCCCTTGGCAGCTACAATTGATAGTCCCATGCCTCCCCCTGCTTTGTGCAGCCTTATTACTTGGACCTACACATTCAAGAACACAGAAAATAAGATATGTTCACAATTTTGTAATGTTAGAAACACTCACCTCTGGTTGAGTGGTGCTCAAAGCACTAGGAGGCCGTGGAGCGTTCATGTAGACGGTCCAATGACCGGAACTAGTTGGCTGGGCAGCTAATCTGCATAAGCCTGCAGCTTGTAGAGGATGTAAGAAGTCAGCCAGACCTAACAGAGATTAAAAAAATTATACAATATATCAATTTACAATTCTTGAGAACTGTTATTTAGAAATAGCTTACCTGGTGGTACTCCTTGAACAACATCACAACTGAATCCATCATCAGGCAGAAGTAACTGTAGTGGAGGTGCGGGATCTTCGTAAAGCGTTACCTCCCTACCTTCAGCTCTAGCAAGTTCATCAGCAACACTTTCAGCGGCTTTTGCAGCCTGTTCCAACATCGAAGGTGACCCAATTTTTTCACCAGGTTCAGCTAAAAAGAAAATATATTTAACATTTAAAACATTATTGTATTAATTATTATATTTACCTTTATATTGCATTAACAGCGCTCCCAACTGCATAGAGTTCAGTTTGAAACACGCTGCGCTCAGACTGGCTAAGTCTTCCGGAGTGTATTTGTTAGCTTGTAACAAATGGGCACATTGTACTATTTTCGCCAGATGACATTCAGCAGCAAGTTCTAGACCTTGAGACTCCGCCCAAGCCTGCAAGTTGCGTAACCTGTTGGCCAGTTTGTGTCCGAAGTTGCGAGTACACAAATTGCTGTTCGAAATGGCGTTCGACAAAGCTTTGGCTGAGATCCAGTGGAATAATTGAGAGAACAGCTGAAAGAAGGAATAATAATTCAAAGTTTGACTTGATGAAGTTTTCTTGATAGTCATCTAAATACACAAAATCAATAAGACATGCTCACCTGTATGGTTAAAGCTGCGTTGACTCTACATTTCCTTAACAAATTCATCGCTCCACTTAAGATATTTATCACTTCCCTGGGATGGTCATCGCCTGTGACAGACATCAGATAATTCATAGCTGCGTTCAGTTCGTCTGTGAGGCAAGCAACTAGGTTCTGAAATAGTTCAATAATTTGATTACATTTTGCATGTAAGTATATGTTTGGTCAAAACAAATTAATGTATATTGGTTCTTATATGGCTGAATCTTTTCAATAATTAACTTACCTTGAAAGCTAGTTGGACTGCATCAGCTAAGGTGTCTTGAGCTTGTAATGAAAACGCGCTGACATGTCTGTCGCTCTTGAGGAAATGTAACAGTTCACTGGCATTGGCCAACCAGAATGCTTGAGATATACTTTCCGTACTCCTATCTTGAACTGTGTGTCTGATGAGCATGGCGGCATGCTGTAGTAGGATGGTGAGCTTGTGAGCTCGTTCGGTAGGTGTCAGTTCGGGACGATAATGCGTCGAAGCTCTATACCTAGTAAATAGAACGAAAAAAAGTTGTATTCTAACTTTGGTTATGCATTTTTATACGAATTGCCGAAGTTTTTATTATTTGTCACTCGCTTGCCAGTAGAGTTTGGGCCTCACGTTGGGCGCCAAATATAACAGGGAAGTAAAATGGAACTTTTTCACACTTCTATCTATTAAAATCTATTCATTTTAATAATATGGTCTTATTGTGAAGCAAATTAAAGTTACTGTAAACTAAACACACAAATAATATGCAGAAGCTTAAGTTTTTATTATAACGGAACACAGTTCCATTAAAATATCTGTGTAACATATAAAACATTCCACGGTCGCTTGCCAGTATAGTAATCAACTGGGCCCCACACGTTGGGCGCCAAATACAGAAAAGCGAAATAAAAGAAATTGAAGTAGTATGTATGTATGTATGTATTAAAATAATAACAGACAATATCAACGAAGAATTTTGCGGAAGATGTCAAGAAAAATGAAACATTTTCTACAATTTATTTTACAAAAAAATTTCATGGGCGTATTTCTGGAGACGAAATATACTACCAGTTATACAAATATTATAGAAAAAATGTCAAATTTCAAGTAATTATTATACGTTACCTTGCGCATAAATACAAAGTATAAGCTGGAGCAAGTCTAAAGGTAGGTGTCGTCACATCCAGATGCGTGATAGCCCTTGCCAGAAACTGTTCTTGAGGCTCTTCTGGAAATTCTAGCACCGCAGGTAAGATGGGGTCCTGGCCTCTTGGGTAGCGATCCATACCGCTCAATCTAACCAATAAAAATCATTATTTAAAACAAATTAAATATTTTTTAGATGTTTTTCTAAAAACAAGAAGGGATTACAAACCTGTTTTCTGAGCGACTGTCTGATCCTAAGGATCTATTGTCCTCCCTTGCACCGCTATGCGTGGATACCGTTTCGACATTACCGTCAATGTCAAAAGTGGTTTCTATATTTTCCCTAGAACCGCTAGCTTGTGTGGGGCTTAATGCACGAGGTGAACGACTGTGGTTAAAAAAGCAAGAAAAAAATAAATAAGCAAAAAAAAATAATAAAAGCTAAAATGGGAATAAAAATAAAATTCATATTATTAAGGAAAAAAATTACGCAAATAAAAATAAAAATGGAAACATAGAATGTGCATTTATAAAAAGATTTAAATTTTAGTCAAATTTTAAGGAGCATAACGTGAAATTTGCAAAGAATAAAAAGAAAAATTATAAATCAAAGAAAAAAATCAAAACACTAAACAGTTATATAAAACATATAATTTTTTATTATTGTTTCTTTACAAGTTAACACGTTAGGAGTCTTTGATTTGTTTATATCGAAAGTAAAAAATAAAACTTCTACGCCCTGTATCTCCGAAACGAAGCATTTTAGGACATACATTTTTACGAACTTTTTTACTTATTTTTATCTGCAGGGTATGTTGTCAAAGTGTCCCGATCACAATTCGGACCGTCTTGTATATTTGATATTGTTATTTTTGGACACACTGTATTTTTCACTCACCTTTCGTATATTCGTGTTTGATTATCTATGTTCCCCAAAGCCTGACGTGTTCTTTCCTCCTGCGTAGGATCGAGAAACCTGTAAATAAATAACGAAGTTAACTATTAAAGTGCCAAAAATAACGAGAGATAGCGCAACATTTCCAAAGTGGTTAAAAATTGAACTTAATTGAATATTTTACTGTTATATTACTCCAGAGAAGTTTGGTAGAGTCGTAAAAAAGCCTATTATTGTACCGGGTGTTTCGATATCCTTCACAGTTGAATATTTCAGGTACATGCAATGGTAAAAGTTTGAATTTTTCATGGTAGCAAAACGTGAAGGTGGTCCAATAATAAAGAATACTGTACTGTAGTTCTGTAGACAGTGTTGCAAGAACTACGGATTAATCGATATATTTACGGATTTTGAGTGCAGTACGTTAATAATACGGATTTTCTATCACTAAACAATATAATATAATATTATATGATTAAAAAAAGAACGGCGTCAGAGTTGGCTTGGAAATGAAGATCGCTGTTATTTTATATGTAAAATATTATGGTAAATGTCATTTCCAAGCCAACTAAACGACTCTTTTCGATCATACGAAATATTCAATACCTATAATGAATTTTTACTTTTGTTGTTTATTCTATGTTTAGTACGAATATATTTTCAATACATAAACGCGGATTTTTCATCCAAATATATTTTCGTCAAACGTATTACAGATATTACACATTTTAATATAGCAACACTGTCGTTTTCAGTTCCACACGTCTTCGATATGCCTTCGCTGGCCGAATTAGAGAAAATGAGTGTTTTATGCGTTGGCCGCAGAACGAGTGGTGGCTCCACCGTACAGCACTTAAGACGTAAGGGGAAATCAAATCGGCCTTGCCACGAATTCGCCTATTAGGTTGCGTATCTTCCCAATTCTTCCAATCAACGATACTATTGTTTGGTAGTAAAAAATTAAGTAGCTTTAAATAATTTTGTAAAATTAAATTATTTTGTGAATCATTAGAAATAGATTTTCAAAGATGCTTAATATATCCATATTATTTTTTTATTAATTTACTTACATATATTTTATTATATTTCTTTTAGTACACAAAAGGTTTTACTTGACACGTTTTGAGTAGACAGGTAAGACTGGCAGGTAAAATGATATGTGTAGACGAGACTTTAGATATGGGTTCTATTTTTCAAAACCAAAACTATGCGAATATTCATATATTTTTTTAAAAAAGTCACAATGCAAGACTGACAAGAGGATTTTAAGCTTTATAATGCTATTCAAAAATTGTACAATATACATAATATAGTTTGAATTTATCTCATTGTTTTGTAGAAAGGTGTGTCCAATTCCACTTTTAACGAATAACTTCGACATTGTATGCGGTGAAATAATGTTTTTTTTTCACAATTGTTAAACAATTAAGGTCGATAATAATGTGAGGCGTTACGAAACCCAAATACTCAGTATGTATGTGCATTATTATTGTAGATACAGTTTCAGGCACATTTTAAAAGGTTTCTTAGAAAATAATTTGCATATTTCGAATAGCTATTTATTTTTATTTTAGGGTGTGTAGCGTTATAAGTGGCCGACCGTAGCTCCAGCGTTAGTGTGCTGCGGAGCGGAAGGTACTGTGTTCGATCCCCAGCCAGTACGGTCGTTTTATTTATTTAAATAAAAATATTTATTTATCTAAATAGAGCGACAAAAAAGGTCTAGAAATTATAGCTCTAATATGTTGTTATATTTTGTTTTTTAAAAGCGATCATTTTTTATCTCTTTACCTATAGGTGTTGCTGTTGCCGAACTTGACCAGACTCCCGTGCGTCAAGATGGTGGTCTGGTGGATCCTCTGCCCGTTGACGTACGTGTGGGCGTCCGCGTGACAGGGTGTCAGTGACGTCACGCTGTCGGCGTTGGTGATGACGCAGTGGCGCGGCTGGATGTGCGGCCCGTACAGTTGTAACGCTATACCGTTTGCTGAACCAACCTGAAACAAGATATTAATGTGAAGTTTTTATGACATGACACAACGTTAATATTAAAAAAAATGAATTACTAGTAAAAGTCATGTTTTAATAACCTCTACAGATGCCTGAACAATACATTTATTTTTATTAGACTGTACTAAAAAAGCCTCTTTTATTTTTCCTTTAGAGGCTTCCTTTATAATAATTTTTCCGTTGTTAAAATCTACTCTGTGTCCTGTGTCCCATGAATGCTGACAAATTTTAGATTTGCGAAAAGATGAATCAGCCACAGAGGTATAGACATTTTTTAAAACATTTATATTATATTGCCCTATGTTGACATAAATAAGTCTTTTTATACATCACGTACTTTTTTTTATCAACATTCGTAGTTTCTTCGTCAATTTTACACCAGATCGATCATAGCCTTTATACCTCTATAGTAAGTCTGTAGTAAATTAATATCTCATATGATAAATCGGTCTTTCCCCGAAGAAATGAAGGCAGTGATTAAAGAAAATATAGGCAACCCCTCGAGCGATTAATAATAACGTCAAGGGAAGCGTACGCCCTTAAATAAATGGCAAGAAACTGTTGCGTGTCTAACCCCCCCTAACTCAGATACCGCCTTTTATCGTGGCTGTTTATCTTATATTTTAATAGAGTGGAGCAACAGTTAATCCTAAGCCCTATCGACGGGTTATTTTTGGACAAGAGGGTGATATATTGTTTCGTTTAAAAGAAAACTGTTACGTCCAACTTGTTTTGTCATTTACGTTCTGATTTATACTGACTAAAACTGTTTTTTTTTAATACGGTAGCATTTACAGGTACAAAAGCATTTTTATACAGAGTGTCCCAATATTCCGTGGACATAGAACTAGTACGTATTTTTGAAACTAAAATAAGTTCATTGGACACAATTTACATGTATACAAAAGTGCTTCGTTTGTTCGCTAGAGGGCATCAAACTTTAAAAAAACAAACACATTTTTTCAGATATTTTAAGAATCGTCATTTCGATTTGAACGATATTTTGGGTGTCTATATTTTGCTAAGTGCTTTAACATTTGGTTTCTACTAAAATGAAGAACCGGTGTTCATCTACAACACCGGTGTTTATTTCAACACCGGTGTTTCTCTTAACACCGGTATCGCGATGAACACCGGTGTCGATGTCAATGGTGCCGTATGTTTTTGTTTTTTTTAACGGAAGGAAAGGATATGGAACGGAAGGGGAAACGGAACGGATAGGGTGTATTGTCCTATTCATTTACATGATATAATATTTTACGTAAACGGAAGGGAAACGGAAGGGAGCTGATATGGAAGGTATTATACACTGTATCAAAGAATCAAACCTTTCAACGAAAAAAAATCACAGTAACACAAAATCTTTTTCTTCCACTCACTCTTAATGAACCGGACCCGATTTCTCAACCTCAAACCGAATCGAATCATCGAATCGTCCGCACAGGGTCATTGCGGTGGCCCTTTCAATATCCGTTTTAATTATGAAAATCCATTTAGATATCAATCTGGCGCGTTTAAGAGGCGTTCGGCTGGCTGGTTTATGTTCTACACGCAGTAGGTAACAGTAGCGCTTTGTTGTCGAGTACTGGAGTCCCTAGGGAATCGTTAGAAGTGTTCCAGAACAGTTTGACGAGCCACTGTTTAGGAATGTTGCTCATTTAAAAGGTATCGATATTTTTTACTGTCAATATTTGTCGATATATCGTTTCTACTACAAAAATTATTTATACAGTATGATCGAAGAAAAAACGGTGTTAAAGACGGCTGGGGAATGACAGTTAAAGTTGACACGTAAAACTTGCCAAAGATTAACTCTAATTATAGGAAGATTAAAAAAGGATAGAACGTTTTTTCCAGACACACAAATCTATTTCCAAAAAATTATTTTTTCTCGAATTTTACACTACACCATTTACAAATCATTTTTACTCAATATAATAATAAATTACAACCTTATTGGTCAACAAAAGAGCGCCAATAAAAAATAAAGAAAAATACGGGCCCCGTAAATTACGTTTAAAAATTGACCTCGCTAAAATTATCATAGATTGTCATTCCCTAGCCGTCATTGACGTCGTTTTTTTTTCGAACATTATGGTATTTTTCTTCTCTTAGGGGTCCAGCAGTGGGATTTTGTAAGCTCCGTAGGAAGAAATTTCTTGTCTATGCTATTTTAATACGAATGATGAGTCACTAGACAGGAAATATATGTTTACAGAATCGCACTGCATGTAAAAGATAAATAAGGAGTAATAGGAAAAATCAGTTTTTGATTAATAATTTTAATTTGTTGCAATGTCCCAGTTGCGCAGCAGTCTTTCCATATAAGACCAATCCTTAATAATTAATTAAGATCTTCTTCTTCTACTACTTATTTGAGATCTAGCCGATCTGTTAGTTTTAAGGTTGCCTCTGTAGGAGTTCTTGGGAGATCTTCCCTTTTTGGAGGTCTTCCTGGCTGTCTCTTACCCATGGGTTTCCCTTCAAGAGCCATGCGTGGTAGCGTGTTTTCTTCCATGCGTTTTACGTGTGCGAACCATTGTCTTTTTCTTTGCCTACCCCATCTCACTACGTCCTGTATTCCACATTGTTGTCTGATATTTGTGTTTCTAATTCTGTCTCTTCTAGTCTTCCCCATTATGGTTTTTAGGTTCTTCATTTCAGCGACTCTTAACATGCTTTTGGTTTTGTTTGTTTCCCTCTCGGATTTCTATGCCATATGTCATTATTGGTCTGATTCAGGTCTTATAAATTTTAATTTTGCTGTTTGTTCGCATGGGGGAATGCGAACAACCTAAACTCTGTTGTGTCCCATTCGATAACCGATAAAATTAATAATTGTCCTTATTGAAGAGATACCCTGTATATAACCAGTCGTGATCAAGTGAAATCATTCTTGATGAAGATTAGTCTCGTCCTTTACGATGTTGTGGACAATTCTCTGAAATGGGACATACATATCGAAGCTTTGTCGAAAAAATTGAGCTCTGCCTGTTGTGCATTAAGGTCTGTTTCTAAGGAGCTTAACTTGTCAGTGGCTAGAACTGTTTATTATGCACTTTTTGAGTCGCACCTCAGGTATGCCCTTCCATTCTGGGGTACGTGTTGTGCGGCTCAATTTGACCGCATTTTCAAGCTCCAGAAGAGAGCTGTTCGATATTCACTGGGACTAAACAGCAGAACTCATTGCCGGGGCTTTTTAAAGAATTAAAAATATTGACTCTTCCTTCCTTATTTATATTTGAATCCGTTTGCCTAATACGTAAACATGTATCAGCTTCTCAAGAAAGGCCATCTCACACTTATCCACTCAGGAACGCGGAGCAAGATCTTTATCTACCTACCCCACGCTCAGAGTTAGTTAAAAGTTCAATATTATACAACTCGAAAAAAAGGCACAATCACCTGCCATTTGAAATCAAATCCATCACATCATTTTTTTCATTTCGCAAAGCATTGAACTCTTATTTACTAGACAAGGCTTTCTACGCCGTAAATGAATTATATTTGAATTGAAAATCGAATTTGATCTTGAAAACACTGGCCTAATGTTTGCAATTGCAATATTTACTAATGACATCGAAATTAATTTATTTAGAGGTCATTGATATTTTGCTATAAACTGGCTAAATATTTTTGAATATTATTTTAATTTTTTTTGTTCTTTGACATTGTAAACATTTATAAATGTTTATTTTAACAATAAGACTGACAATATTATTTGTATAATGTTTTGTATTATCTTTTGTTTGTTTGTTTGTGTACCTTGTTTTTTTTTTACTTTGTTTGTTAGGTTACCTTTGTCTACAAATTGAAAAATTTTTTGACAATAAAGGCATTTATTTATTTATTTATTTATTTATTTACGAAGGTCCAGCAGCAAGTCAAGGAAATTTCGCTCACGTCCCAATTAACCAACCCTTTGGTTAGTTTAAGGCGGTGCTGACGTCACGAATAGAGCTACTTTGAGCCAATTAAGATTGGGAAAAGACGACCGGCGCGGCGGGGAAGAGCCGATAGAGCGCGGAAAATGCGCTTTTCTTTCCGGTTTTATTACGTCGAGTCGTGACCGAATCGAGCGCAGGAAAAAGGAAAATGAAAGACGTCGTCTTCATTTAAATGGCGAGATAATTTGGGTTATCGGCAGATCTTTTTCGATTTTTAAGCTTCGTGAAGTTGGGAAGCTAATCAATTTTGAAATGGTTTCAACGGAGAGTAAGTATGGGAGCACTAGGGATGGGCGATAACTGATTTTTAACTGTCGATAAGTTATCGCAATAATTCATCTATCGATATATTTTAGTTAGGTATATGTCGATAATTATTATGATTATTGATATAATCATCGATATAATTCGGACCACCCTGTATCTCCTAAGATGCATAATTTCGGAGATATAGAGTGTAGAAGTTTCATTTTTATTTCGATTTTTTCCAAATAATTTCAGAACTAACGTCGATATTTGGATGAAAATTGGTGCTTGGGAGTTTTTTGACATGTGAGATTTGATTTTAATGTCAATATGACTCTTAGTTGTAGAGGGCGCCACCTACATATCTTTTAACTGGTTTGAACGGTAATAACTTTTCGTCCGTACTTGTATAAAACTACTGAGTAAAAAAATATTTATTTGTGACGTTTTTCTACGTAAAAAAAAGTCTCTGGGTAAAAATTGCTACGAGTAATGGTTTTCGAGAAATTTGGAATTGAAATTATCAATACCTGTCATCACTGACATAAATTAAACATGTTGATTAAGTAGTTTTAGACTGAAAACATAAATTTAAAATGTCTTTGTGGAAAAAGTTCAACAGAAACTGTTTTATCATTTTTTTCGAAAAAAAAATTATAATAAATTTAAAAAAAAATAAAAATTCCCAAATTCATCATTTCAGTCAAATAATTATCTACTGAACATGTTTATTTTTTGTCAATAATGACATGTATTGACTATTTCCATTCTAAATATTGTTGCGGACCGGTGTGGACTCGACCTAACCTAACTATATGCCCCGCCCTCGGATGACCTTAACATCGCATTAAAGAATAGACACCGTAATGATTCATTCGAAGATTCGAGAAGAATCAAGTTCCACTGGAATGGAGTAGTACATACGAGAACAATCGAAACCTTCTCTATGCACCTAACGATCTATGGACTATTCTAGAGATCTTTAGCTGTCGGTATAAAAGCCGGCGGCTGGGGCCTAGAGAGTAGTGATGGAAATAATCGAATTATTTTCACCGAATAATTAATAATAATTCATATTTCACAATCGAATTAATAATTCGAATTAGTTAGTAGTATTATAAATTTAACCTAAAAATAAATTCGTCCCAGAGTCCCAGCTAGTGCTCGTCTAGGGGCTATTTTAAACAAATCTGAACCCTTGCCATACCTATATTCTATCACTGAATAAAAAATAAAAAAAAAATCTTTATTCAATGTATTCTATTAACTGTGCCGAAGCCGTTTAATAAATTAAACCATAATTTAAAGTTTTAAATTTAAAAGGGCCGAGATTATGATTGTTTCAATTCCTATGAAAAAAGCTCATATCTAAAATAAAAGCTTCTTCTAAAACGATATAAGTATGTCCTTGTTTACGTGCGGTTCGTATTTCTTTTTATTTTATCAGTTGCAATCAATAATTATTTAGATAAAAGAAGAAAATTAATTTTAGTGTTCGGCAGGTGTTCGGTGAAATTTGGGTGAGATGGAAATGAACCAAATAATAGTAGTATTCTTTCGTTCTGAACGAAATGAAAATTTTCACTTGAACTGATTTATTCCTACGTGGTATAGGAAATAACAATGATTTCTGGATTTTTCTATATCGGATCGTTCCTTTCTTTGTCGATTCCCTTTATAAATCAGTTTAAGTGAAAATTTTCAGTTCGTTCAGAACGAAAGAATACTACTAATAGTACTATACGACTATACTAATTACTAATATTCGTATTCGTCCATAAGTGGTTATGTTTTATGTTCATTTGTAATTCGGTTACCACAGATATATGTAATATAAAATACTACTAATTTTTATCTCGATTATATCGAAAAAGATAATTCGAATTAGTTAGTTTTAATTTACTATCGAATTAGTTGTATTATTTAATTCGAATTTTCCCAACAGTATTAGAGAGGGCAGTTATAAATTCAAAATAAATTCTTAGTTATAAATCGTTTGTAAATAGTTCTATAAGTCTTTTATCGTTATTGTTTTTGTTAATTAGTGTTAAATAAATAGTGTTTAAATAAATTGTGACTTTCTATCCACACGGAACCGACGAAAAACGTAACAATATCTTGAGATCGGTTGCTCGTGACGATTTTTTCCAAGAGACATTTTTCCGTAAAAAATCACGGAAATATATTTTTTCATTCAGTAGTTTTATACAGGTATGAACCAAAAATGATTACTCTTCAAAACAGTTAAACCCTTTTTTAAACCACATGTAGATGGCGCCCCCTACAAATAGGAAGTATATTGACATCAAAATAAAATTTCTCCTGTCAAAAAACATCCAGACACCAATTTTCATCCAAATATTGACGTTATTTCAGAAATTATTTGAAAAAAAAAAATCGAAATGAAAATGAAACTTCTACTTGCAAGATTATAGGATTGCGTAACATTTTCTTTGATAAAAAGCTAAACGATATAAGCTAAAAAAATGTTTTCTTTTCTTTTTGACATTTTTATCACCACAAAATGTTTCCTGAGCCAGTTTATTACAGTCGATCAAATTATTTTACAAATTATCCTCCAACATAAAACTGCCTTTTGTACCTTTTATAAGGGAACAAAAAAACGGCCAAAAAATGATACAAAGGAGAAAAAAAAGGTCAGGAGTTAACGCACCCTTGTTTTACTGTTTGTTCTATCGAAAATCGAAGAAGCAGGACAAAGGGCGACTAACAGGTAGGTTTGCTTTGACATGACATAAAATATGTATTCGTGCTGTTTTATTAAGGCGACGGCGACGCTTGTTATGTTTACAAGGTTTTATTTATTTTTTCAACGTAAAAAAGCAAAACTCCGATAATTACCAAATACATAATATTTGGTATGAGATTATTATTTTATGAAATTTAGTATCTATAATAATTTACATATTTTTTTAGTTTAATATTGTTGTTTTATAATTTAGGAAAATTACTAGACTGAAAGAAAAAAAAACTAAAATTTCCAAATTTTCCAATTTTTTTTGCGAAAAAAAATTCTGTTTGTATGACATGCTTTAATAAAAAATTATATCATAGTTAGAAGACTATATGGTACAACTTCTAGATAACTCTTACCTCCATGACGTCGTTGGTGAGCCGAACCGTCTTATTAACGTCAGCCAACGAGGGCGGTTGTCCATCTGGTCCCAGCTCCACCAGCAGGGGGACATCCCCCCTTTGGTCCCTCAACCCCCCGCTCAGGGGCTTTTTCTTGCGCCTGCGCGGCTGGCAGTCCGCCGGTTTCCGCCGCACGTGGAACATGATAGAACCTGCAACAAATCAAACATACTATAAGTGCTATAAGTAACTGCTGTAAGAGGTTCTGGTGTGTGCAAGAATTCTGGACACACGAAAAAAAATGTTTTAAATTTTTCAGTGTCCAAGGTTTCAAAAACCATCGTGGCATAACGTCGGTTTCCAATGTTCCTTAGGCATTTCATACATGTCCTTATACAGGGTGCCCCAGAAATAAGTGCAAGTATTTTAAGGAGTGGTAGATCTCGATAAAAGAAACATGTTTTCTCTTTATCGTTTTTCAAATAAGTCCAGAAGAACTGAGTTATTTTACTTTGAAAATTTCCAAAAAAAAATTTTTGCAATAATTTTGAGAACCACTGGATCTTTTCTGGATTTTCTTTCTTGTAAATTTAATCTACTACCTATGTTGCCATATTATTAAGACGTTATGTTTTTTTAACTAAAAACTAAAAAAAATTCCAAAATTTTTATCAAAAAATTCCGAATTTTCAATTTTTTTTCGCGAAAAAACCTCATAGGCGTGTTTCTGGGGTTGAACTATACTCCCAGTTAAAATACTTGCACTTATTTCTGGGACATCCTGCATAAAATAAAGTTTCTTATATGCAACACACTGTGTTTTATTTATAAAATAGAATAAATCTGAACAAATAATATATTTGGCGACATAACTCCGAAAAAAGCCGAACCGCTCCGAAATTATCAAAAGCTTTGGGTCGCGACCGTTGCAAGAATAGCGCCAAATAGTATTTAGTATTTATATTGTTCTTATGGGCTCTTTCCAATCTAAACTTGTTTCATTTATCTATTGGTCACCCGTCCATTCACTGGTATGGCCTAACGTCGCTTAAATTCGGTGATCTATTGGGAACCGGTGTTTCGACGTAGCTGGGTAGCTGCCTAACAACGAAGTTTTTTATTTTAAAGTTTTAATATTAAACAATTATAAACACGAAATCACAAAAATTAAATATTAATACTTCAGTATTAAATTAAAAATAAAACGATTAATAATTAACGTACACCACGCACTGTTTATTCTATATAGATTTTTAATAATTTATAAATTGGAATTACCATCTATATTATCAAATACTGAAAATACTGAAACCTGAAAATATTTAATTTTATATTAAAAAATAATCTAACCTAACTTTTCCAGCACAGATTTCATTATTCAAACTCGGCTTTCCGTGAAAATCAAAACCACACACGACTGATATATGGACTGAAACGTTTTCAGCAACTGAAAAACATCTTGTTTTTCTCACTGTACGAACTGCGATGTGTTCCAAAAATAGCTGCCACTGTATTTCATCCGTTTTAATTTCCAAATTAATTTAATTTTAAAAGTTATGCTTATTAGTTAACATCGTACTCATCGAAGATATAATAATTAAGAACAAATCTGTGTAAGGTGTGTTGATGGACAAACTGAAGGTTGGACTGCAGCCAAATTAAAGAAGAAAAAATATGGTTTAATAAGCAAGTCATAGAGAGGTTATTTTTAAAATGTTTATACACTGTATATATATGTATGTATATAAGGGGGAAAAAGTAAAATATTATTCGAATGGATTCAAGATGTTGTATCAGTGTTATATTAAGATACATTCCTGTTTCATATTTTTCTGTTTATTTATTTTTATTTTGAAGTAAATGGATGTTGCTTGTCAGTTTAAACGAGCATGTGATAAAGTCAGGGTTGGTATGTTATAAACATTTTGTTTAAAAATAAGTGTTTTAAACGTGTTTTAGTTAAAATTGCGTTAAAAACAATAAAAAACATGTTTTGTTTGGAAATAAACAACATGTTTCATTTCAACTCCGGTTAAAGTTATCTAGAGAACTACAAGAAAAGGACTGATTTTTTGCAAATCAGTGTGTGAAGAATTATCGATTAAAAAATTTTCAAAATACTATTTCAAAAATTTCGAAAATTTGGTGCAAAAATGGGCGCCGAGAGGCACGTATAGCCGCCCATACTAAAATATGTTAATATCTCGAAAACTGCGACTTTGACTGATTTTGATGTTATTACAAATTTTGTTGCAAATATTATTCCTAATCTTAATTTGAAAACCGCGTTTCGCTAGCTACTGTAATTTTGGAGTTACGATTTTTTTAAATTTTTAACCCCCTCCCATACCCCCTTACTAACCCCCCAACCCCACCAAAAACTAATGGCCAGATTCTCGGGTGCCACAGTATTTTTGTGCCGAATTTGGTTAAAATCGGTTCAGCGGTTTTTGAGTTATCGTGTTACAGACGGACAGACGGACGGACAGACAGACAGACACCACGAAAATATTTTGTATTTAGGTCATTTATGACCCAAATCACACATTTTGAGTGAAATTAAAAAAACTTTTTTTTTGCCGATCCTAATAGGATAAAAAACATTTTACTAAAAAAACATTTTACATTTTTCTTGACATTTTTTGTGAAACAAAAAAACTTTTTAGTGCCACAGGTTCATTCTCCTGAAAGTTATTGATGGTGTATCAAAGAATTGCAATGTTGTCACCTCCTACATTATCCACATATTGCATATTTGTATGCGTTTATAAGTTAACAGTAATTGTAAATTTCTACACAAGAAATTACAAAAAAATAATTTTAATTATAACACTGGCATTTTACTACTAGATTTACCACCCCTTCTTTTTTACTATTATTTAATTCATTTACAGAGTGTTCAAATAAACTTAATAATTTTGCACTGAATATACTAAGAAAAACGTCATCAACGAATTGCAACGAATAATCCAGCTTACTATTTTTTTATTTAAAAGCTACGAAGCTCTTTATGTTTGTAAAGTTCTAGTCTAGAACGACCCAGTAACCTATTTTAGAATAAATTTAATTATATTGCAGAGTAAAGTTAAATATAAAATATTAAATCAACTTCGTTTTTATAAACGAAATCCCATGCATTTTTTATAATCAAAATGAACATATTTCAATATTTTTTTTAGATATACATAGTTCTACCACGAAACAATAAAGTTGACATATATAAAAATCTATACAGGATGTTATCAAGTTAAGACAATTATTTTATAACAGTGATAAAATTTGCAAATTTTTTTTTTAAATAAATAAAAAGCAAATATTTTTGAATTTGGATCAGCTATCAATTCGACAATATTCCAGCATCAAATAGAGAAGCTCCACTCGACATGAAACGCCAAAATTAATTGCATTTTTTTACGGGTACGTACAACCAACCTCCATTCGATTATAGTTCGGCTATTTTCCCAAAATGGTTTTCCTAAAATGGAAAACCCTCGTATAACGATCGAGAATTTCCCGCACGATGAATTTTCATTAGATTTACCGGAAAACGCTTTCCAAAAAATTAGGGATGGTCATTTTTTAGAAAACATCGATATCGATAAATATTAGTGCGAATAATATCGATATTTTCATTGAGACAATAGATTAGTGGGTATGTATTATTTTAATTATTAGGTGTAATAGTGATCAGTGAAAAAATGTAGTGTTTAATTTAATCAAAAAAAGGATTTTCTTTACATTTCTACATCTTTCTAGATTTGAATATGCCGCTATTGTTGAATTTCTATTCTAAAATGTCTAGTATGTCACTGATTTGCAGTGGGCCAGTATATTGCATCAATATAGATTTTTCTCTAATATTATATATTGTTTAGTTGTTTTGGGAATGATATAGTTGAGAATTTAATATCGATGTCAAATCTCGACATTTTTATTCCGACATATCGATATTTTAAAACAATCGATATATTTTGTATCATCCCTACTCTCAGTTACCTTCCTCTCGGTCTATAGCGTGTTATTTGTCGCATTGTTGCCAGTTTCCACCCCTCGAGAGGTCAAGGGATGTGCTAATATATGGTGTGGATGGATTCAATGGGACAGGTCATATACATACACCCAGTGGCGGGGATAGAATAAAAAGCTTTAAAAAAAAATAAAATAGAATTTCTAAAGGAACTGTTCGTTTAGTGTTTAAAAAAATATCTAAATGAACTATTCATCAAAACATAAAATGAGTGTTAAATAAATATATAAAAATATCCTTTCGCCAAATATTTTCAGGCTGGTAGATCTTGATCAAAGAAACATACTCTTACCGTATTTCAAATAAGTCCAAAATAACCTAGATATCTTTATCTTTCTCTAAAAAAAATGTTCGCTTAATTTTTGAGAACGACTGGATCTTTTCTGGATTTTCGTTCTTGTAAATATAATCTAGGTACTAGCTATGTTGCCATATTATGAAGATATTATGTTTTTTAACTAAAAATCCCCAAAATATTTTGAATTTTCATTTTTTTTTGTCGCGAAAAAAACCTCAGACGTGTTTCACTTATTTAAGACTCGCTCTGTATATACCCCTTGAAATAATATCTTTTTTTTGCGAAATACCCAGATATTTTTGAGTAAATTTAGATGCTCCAAATCCCGAAGACCCGTCACTGCACATCCACTTCCGGTCGTTTCCACGAACAGAGTCCAGGAAATGCGGATATCCAGGCGAATTTTACATTGCAAATGTCATGTCTGGCGTAATTTTCGACTTGATACCGAGTCAAAAGCCGTCGATGACGGAGTGGGCGAGTACATGCGATCCGGTCATGTAATCGAGCACGTTCGGGATATTCCGGACATGAATAAGCCGTGCCATTTTTCCTGCAACCGTTCCGGAAATTCATTATTTCGCTGTCCAGAACTGGATCGAAATAGCCGCATAATTGGTCTTAACCAGTTCGTTGTTTTCATATATTAATAAGAAAATTAATTCAAATTGGATTCTGAATGCAAATCGTGGAATATACGGCACTGATTACTTTATTTGCGTGGTCGGTATTTTAATGCATACGACTGAGATAAATATATACGACGATATAGTTGATAGACAGAGAGATAAAATCAAAAACGACATACAGTGTTGCACATACAACATTTTTCGTAAGCGCATAATTGGGCGGTATGAAATTATTTTGATGCAAAATCCGGCAATACC